ATGCTTACAATCCACATGAAATAATAGTAACATCATCCCATATAGCTAGGACTAAGAACTCAGCAGAATCGTTCATGACAGGTTTATACGGCGGTATAGAGATACCGATCAAAACGGAAACAGCTGTAGCAAACGAAATTATAACATGTTTAAAGTTTGACGCTTTATACAAGAAATCAGAACTCACAGATCCAGAAATCATTAAAATAAATGAAAACAATAAGGAACTGTATGAATACTTATCTAACAATACAGAGCTTCCGATCGGAGGTATGTTCAGAGCATCTGCTATATTTGATACGCTAAAAATTGAACAAGACGCAAATCTTAATATGCCAGAATGGACGAATAGCGTCATGGGGAGAAACATTGCGGCAAGTAAGACAAAATGCTGCAAAATTTTTCTGCTACACCAAAGAACAACAAAAGCTTGGTAAGCTTCTTTTTTCAGTTCAAATATCTATTTACTTTTATGTCACTTCCATATTAGTTATTGATAAAGTGTCGATGGAAATTGATTACTGCACTTTAATTTATTTGAAGAAGTAAGTACTATAATTAGTTTTGTGTCGGTTACAGTGAAAGTTTTTCCATCTTTACCTTCTTTTCTTCATTTGTTTCTCGACTAGATTATAAAACAATATAAGCCAAACTTTATTTTCTTGTGACATGAAAATAGTTGTTTAGTTCTGCTTAATATTTTTTATTGAATCGATATTTTCTTCATATATATATATATATATATATATATATATATATATTATATTATATATAAAGTTGCGGCGTTCTACTGCAGTTAGGTGTCAGTGTTCTTCCTTGGTAGTTTATCAGGTATATATATATATATATATATATTTATATATATATATATATATATATATATATTATATATATATATATATAAGGATCACTCAGATGAGTGGTGGGTTCAATCGGTCAACTAGGTGGAGAAATAAAAGACAAAGTTGATACTACTTCATCTATTTTGAAGACGTTTCGCTATCGAATTCTGATAGCATCATCAGTTCATCTAAAAATTTATTTACATTAGAGTACCACACATTCATGAAGAAGATGTTAAATAGTTACATTAAAAAAGATATGTAGTTGTCAATGGTATTAAAAAGTCAGTACAAAAACTCAAATAAATGGACATCGAATGGTGATATTGTATAAACAATTAAATAACTAACAACATTAAGAGACTTAGTAAAAATTAGCAAAGCAACAGAACACGTGGTGTAATAAGCATATAATATTTAATATAATATTAACTAGTGAAGCAGAACTAAGAAAATCATTGATTCACTTCCAACTAAGCAAAAAAAATTTTTTATTTTAACTTCATCTTAACTTTTGGTAGCATTATTAAAGTTAACTACATTAAGATATAAAAAATATGTATAAAAAAGATATAAAGTTAAGTTACCACTGTTTGCTTGGCACCTGTTGCAGTTGAAATGGCGTTAAATTAAAAGGTACCGAGTCAATGACATGAAACAGACAGCCAGCCTTGAGGTCGAAAAATTAATCGACAGAACAACAAGGTTAATAATACCAACCCACTAATTTGAGGGCGGTAAATTTGAAAAAGTTAACATGAGTTTAAATGATAACCCTCCCGTAAGAGACCAAACAATGAAAGAAATTAGCGATAACGCTAATCCCCTGCATCAACTAGTCTAGAACAAACAAGTAGGCCAAATTCATTAAACTCCATATTTAAAAGAGTGGTAAACGTCAACAGTGTAGTTGGTTATACATCTACAGGTGTTTGACGATAAGCACCTAATTTCCAAAAAGTCCAAGGTCCCACGCTTGGAACTTTAATTTGTAAAATATTCAAAGGTTGAATTGTATTTATTAATATTAAAGTAAAAAACCAGAGGGTCAAATTAATCAATATATGAAAAACGACCAAATATGCAATGTGAGTTGCATAAGTAAGTTTAAGTTGATTAGTATTTATGTAATAATATATTTTTTTTATTAAGTATTCATTATAGTAAGTTAAATTTATTTAAAAAAGAAAATGTGTTGAATTATCCGACTCTAGAGACACATACATAACGAACTGAATTGTAAAGCCTAATTCTGCAATATTAAAGCATGATATATTTGACTCAAGTTACTTATGTCTGTTCTCTTATTTAAAGCATTAGGATGTTTAAGAATGGAACACATTTCTAAGAACTGTCTTTTACTAAGATTGCGCTCAGTGCCAAGAACTTTAACTTCATTGAAATTCACCTTATGTTTGGTGTTAATTGCGTGTTGCGCTAACGCACATGTGTGTTTAGAAAGATTAATGTCACTTCGATGGGAAGTAAGACGTCCTTTTAGTGATCTTCCAGTTTGACCAATATAGCAAGCGTCACACTCAGCACAGGGTAAATAGTATATAGTGTTAACTTGTTCCAAAGTGGACAAGGGTGTTTTAGTTTTAGAAAACAAATTTCTAACAGTCTTAGCATTCTTAACTGCAATTTTAACTGGTATGTTATTATGTTTATATAGTTTAATAAGCTTCTCTGTAACTTGAGGAAAATAAGGCAGAGATGAATAATGGGTGGTAGGATTCTCAAGATCAGTATTAGGCAGAACAATGCTATTGACTGAATTATTAGAAATGGTTCTAAGTTGGTCACCATTGGGTATATCATCAAAAGAGGATCCATAACTTTGAGAGTATAGGTATTTATTTATGATGGAGGAAGGATATGAATTTTCAATTAGAATATGTCTCAATAACTTAAGGGATTCCCTTCGATTAATCGGATGTGTTAATTTATGTAATCTGCAACTAAGTGCTTTAATAAGGTTCAATTTATATTTCATAGGATGACAGGAATGGTAATTAAGGAACCTATTGGAGGCCATTGGTTTTCTATACCAACTTGTGGTCAGGGTGTTATCTCCCATTCTGATGACACGCATGTCTAAAAAGGGGATACTATTTGTGACAGTGTCCTCAAGTTCAACAGTGAACTGTAAGTGAGGATCTATCACTGTAAGTGATATATATATATATATATATATATATATATATATATACCTGATAAACTACCAAGGAAGAACACTGACACTTAACTGCAGTAGAACGCCGCAGCTTTGCGCATTTACGGAAATACACAGGGAAAATATACCCCTTAGACCAAGTCGCAGCAGCATGGTTCTCCTTGCAGCGGACTGCCAGGCTTTCCTCAAGACATAATAAAGCCTTTAACCTATGATAACAACATTTATGGGGGCTCACAACGACTTTTTACGAAAACTGGCAGAGGTGCATTGTAGTCCCAACAACATTATATAAGTCAGTCTTTTCTTATAATCAGTTTTTATATCTCACCCACCAGCCTTTTCACCTTCACCTCTGTTTCCCATATATAGACGGAGAATCTCGTTTAAGACATACGCCTCTTCCCTTGTGATGAAAATGATGTACCTAGTCATATCATATTAATTAAAATTTAGTTTAATATAGAAGAACCATATTAAAATAAATGTGTTTGAATGTACCTAAAATATTACCAATTTATTAATGTTTATTTTATGATTTAGGAATGGGATCTCTGATAAACCGCATCATCGAACATTTCGACAAAATTATTGAAGGTAAAAAAGAAGCAAAAACACTAATCTTCAGTCTTCACGACCTCATATCCTGTGCTTCCTACAATCCTTCAAATACCCGGAAATATCTCAACCAGCGTTTGCAAGTAGTGTCTTCTTCGAATTAAGGAAAAGCAAAACCAACGGGCGGTATTTTGTGAATACCTTCTACAAGCCAACAGTTGAACAGCCACCAATTTCTATCGCCGTTGCTGGATGCGATGTGGATTGCGATTTGGATAATTTCAAAAACATTTTTAGAGAATTTAGACTGTCTAGTGGTCAGTGGTATAGTGAGTGCTATGCATTCGGTGTTTTCGATAAACTCTTCCCCACAAAAGAACGCTAGTGTCATGAAAAAAATGTAATATTAAAAATTATAATTAATAAAAAAGTTAACTACATTTTAGATTATTTTAATACTATAATATACTATAATAAATCGATAGAACAATCAGGAAAGAATTGGGGAGAGGCAAAGGTATAAATATATACCTTTGGCTATGGATATACAAAGGTATAGCCAAATAAGAATAGAAAAAGTCAGATCCATATTCACTAAAATGAAGAGAGTATTCTGCGGAAGAGATTTGAGCCTTAAAATTAAACTTCGCCTGATGAGATATTACGTACTTTCTGTGCTGTTCTACGGAATGGAGTCATGGACGTTGAAAAAGATTGATACCAAAAAATTAGAGGCATTTGAACTGTGGATGTATCGCAGAATCCTGAGAATATCATGGACCGAGAGAGTCACAAATGTCGAGGTCTTGAGAAGAATGAATAAGGAAAAGGAAGTCATATTTACGATCAAAAAATGAAAACTGCAATACTTGGGACACATTACAAGAGGTGAAAGATATAAACTGCTTCGAATAATTATGCAAGGGAAAATAGCAGGAAAAAGGTCCATAGGAAGAAGACGAAACTCCTGGCTAAAGAATTTCCGAATTGTTTCGGTGAGCAGTTTCGAAAATACGTATAGCCCTGATGATCGCCAACCTTCGGAACAAAGATGGCACTTGAAGAAGAAAGGTTCTAGAAGCTACTGGGCAATATAAGAGAAAATCCATAGCACTCTTTCGTCATAGACAAAGACTGGAAGTGGCTTCAGGATAGGCTAAGAATTGTAAAGCTAGATGAAAAACTAACTTAAATTATGAAGGTGATGGGTGAAGTGAGCTCAATGGAGTTAAGCGAACTGTTCAACGCCATCTACGATTTATAGGTGAATATATAGGTAAATATTATAGGAAATTCGAAATTCAGGTGCTGTTTTAATTTATTGAATATAACGAATATTGAATTTATAACAAATCTTACAAATTATTTATTTGGTAAAAAATAAAACTCCATTAAGTAACGTTTTAATTCTATGTGAACTATGTTTAAATTTTAAGGGGTTCTAAGTTTACCCAGAGACCCCCTTCAACAGCTGAAACAAAACCAGAACGGTAGGTTATCGGTACTTTAGTTTTTTCGTTCAACGTCACTTTGTAGTTTCGTAATACGCAGCACAATCCTACTTTAGCCTGCAGCTTTCCAAACCGCATTCCTACAAAAATATATTAAGTTATACAATAAAAGATTACTGTTCTATAAAGGTTACTGTTACCTATACACGTGCGAGGTCCTTCTCCAAAAGGCATATAGGAGAATGGCGTCATGTTTGCCTTGTTTTTATCGCTGAATCTCTCTGGGTCAAACTTGTCTGGATCTGGGAAGTAATCTGGATCTCTGTGTATAGCGTAGACTGGTAAATTTATCCTGGTACCTGCTTCTATGACTAAATCACTGTCAGGATATTTGTAGGTCTTGTTGCAAATGCGTGGTAGAATTCCCGCAGGAGGATGTTTGCGGAGAGTTTCTATAATTTAATTCAGAATATACTTGATATAATACAAAAAAGAGCATACAGTACCTGATACCAGTAGTTATGAAGCAAAAGATAAGGTAAATATTATAATAAATGAAGCAAGTTTTGATTTATTACCTGATATTACTTTTTCTAATAATTCCATCTCCATTATTGAATCATACGTCATTTTACCCCCATCTTTTTGGAAAGCTTTCAGTATTTCCTCTCTGAGTTGGTCTTGGATATCTTGACGTTGAGAGAGTTCCAGCAAGGCAAATGACATGGTAGTAGAAGAAGTTTCAAATCCAGCCGCATAAAAAGCAAAACTCTGAGCCGCCATTTCTTTTATAGTCAAACTATTCTTTAATTCGATAAGAAGTTGCAGAAAGTCTTTCCGAATTATATTGTTCCGTTCTCTGTATTCAACAGTGTCTCTTATTAAATTCAAGTAGAAGTCTTCAAGATCCTTAGAAAACAGTTTAATACCACTTTTTTTAATTAACCATTGTGGCCAGATAGACAAGAAAATGAATTTTAGTCTGACCAAAGTTGTATGTGTGAATATTCTGTTGCCGTATTTTCGGAAATCAGAGTCGGGATTCTGCATACTGTTTATATCCACACCGAATGCAACAGAACCAATGACGTCAGTGGTGAAGCACGAAAGATTGCTTTTTATGTCGACGGGTTCTTTGCTTGCTGCAGATTTTTTTAAGAGTTCTTGTAGACCTTCTGTACATTCTACCATAGTTTGGAACATCATTTTCATTTTACCTAGAAATAGCATTTTGCGAATTAAACCAATAAATCTCTACCTTTTAATTCTTAAAACAATACTGATTTTGATAACTTCTTTGTTTGTATGCACGAGACATTATTTTAAAGTATAGAAAATTTTAAAATACGTAACAACAAACAATTAAGTATAGATTTTTAACAATTTATGAAAGCATTTATATACATTTTCGTTCTATCGTTTAGTCTATTTTTTTTTCAAAATTCTAAATGAGTGGTTCGGGTGTAAAATCAGGTATGTTACAAAAACATAATTTTAAATAAAACCAAGGTTTGCAAAATAACTTTACATAAATCTATCCGCTTAACTTTAAATTAATAGAAAAGTAGCAACCACATTAGACACTAAGCTGGTAGCACATTTCGCAATTATAGAAGACCTTAAAACATTAGTAAGCACATGTCTACCAACGTTTATTAAAAATTAATAATATTTTCTTTTACAAGAAACTGTCATAAGCGAAAAACTTGCAATTATTTTTATGTCACTTTTGATTTTAAATCTCTGTCAAACTAGTGATATGCTTGAGAGATCTATTAGAAACAAAACATAATATCACAGTATAGTGCTTAATGATTTTTAAGCACTATACTGTGATAATATGCTCATATTTTGAATTTCGATGTCGAGCGGTTAGTCGCATTTATCTGGATTTTCTGCAGAAAACTCCATTCTTGCTGTATTTATGATACTGAATATTAGTGTAACTGATTATTAAAAATATTCACGCAATCCATTGATTGGTTTAAAATCCTCTTGTGCCATCCTATACACCTTTTTTATATTTAAAGAAAAGAAGAAAAATCTGCATAAAGACCTCTGTGACTCACCTATGTAGTTTTGGGTTCCTAATACCCCAACAAAATTATACAAGGACTAGATCCCGAGGGAGTTAAACCTTTGACACTTCGTTCCGTCATAACTACGAGACTGTCAGCGTCCAACTAAAAACCTCTCCTCTGTCACTCCAAACATCAGGATAAAAGGGCTGTTTAAGACAAATCATCTTTCCTGATGCCCTGCTATCACCCAATTCCCCTTCTTCCTCCCACTCATTCATCAGAAAAACCACATCCACACGAACCACTAAAGACTTTCAACCCCCAACTTAGCGACTCTGCCATGTCTCCCGCATCGTCTGTCTCTCATTTGCTCCTATTTCGGCTTGCGGCATTTTGAACCCCACCGAGGTGGTACTCGCTCGTTTTAAAATTCTGTTGTGAGTTCCCTCTCCTCTCGTTCTTTTGAAGAAGAGCAGCTCCCTGATAAATTTGTGGATCAGTGTCCACCAACACTAATCCCTCCTCATTTTCTTCACCATTTCTCTCACGGAATCAAACCATCTGCAGTTACACTCTTTTTCAAACTTCTCTCTTTCATCCACCCAACGCTCACACTCCAAGATCACGTGTGTCACAGGCTATCCCATAAACCTGGAAGGCTGGTTTCTTCTGTGCCTTCTTCAGAACTTCCTTGGAACTCATTGAATCAACAACAAACTGACAGTGGGCCCTTAAGTACTTCTCTACCATGACAAAATCTCTATCAAATGGTGACATAGTACGTCCCACGATATTAAGACAGTGCTGCACTCGTTTAAAGTTCTAAAGGATAAAAACCTGAGCCAAGTCCAATTTTTATTTTGCCCTCCGCAACTGTCAGAGATAGCAATAAGTTTTTCACCTCCGATATTGTTATGTTCAAAATACTTCAGTAAGTAATTTCCTATTTTGTTGGTACCTCTGCCTGCAGTAGATTCGTTCCACATGCAGGATGCAGGCAATAAATATTGAAATTATAGCAGAATATTATTTTCTTATTAAACTTTGGACCAGTGAAAGGTTTTGGGATATCCCTGGATTTTTCAGTGCTTCTTTTCTTGCTTTATTAATTAGATCTGGCCCAGCGTTAGTTCTAGTTCTGCAGCCAACTGCTTAAATTTATCGTTACCGTTGTAAGTTTTGGCTTTCTTTATTGCAATATTGGTAGAATCGCAGACAATGCAAGAATCTGTTTTTAGAGACTTAAAACTGATATATTGTACTTCTCGGTGGATATTCGTCGAAATTTGTCTAGGGAAATAGGTATTGTTTGGTATTCTAGGCACTCAATCTGATAAATTTTTTATCAGAATTTTCTTTAGTATACTCCATTGTCATAAGAATTCGATGTCACTTTTTAAAAAACGACTTTGCATTTTGACAATTTTTCGATAATACAATGTTTAATTGTACGTCGTAGTATTTACTTTTGTGTTATTTATGAGGGCTTCCCTTATCCCTGCCCATTACATTCCTGTGCAATATAAGCGACCATGTCCTTATTGATTTAATGATTTAATTGTCCAAAGTCGTCTGAAAGGAGCATCTTGTTTAGTTTCTTTTTTTCACTTTATCAGATTTTAAGCACCCAAAGAGGTAAGTATTTTAAATGTTCTGACTCACCATCTTCCAAAATTCTGTGAAAATATGTGAGCGCTTTGGTAGTGGAACAATTTCAAAACATTTTTGCTTGAAATTACAGTTCGGCCCTTGTTCCGTTTTCTGAATTTTTCACACTTTCTGTAGTTTTTTTTTGGTTTCTTTATAGTTTCGCAATTTTTAATTCCTAATCTGATAATTGAAACCCTTTTTGCGCTTTCGTTCTTTTCTTTCTTATTCTTAAAATCAATTGTCGATCTGGCACTTGCATCCTCCTTGTTTTTGTTTTTGAGATCCCTTCTTGCATTTTTGTCCTCTTTTTTCTTATTCGTGAGATCCACTGTGCACTTAATAATATTTTATACTATAATGTGAAACATGGCTTTTGCACCAGATACCATTAGTCCATCGAATATAGATCATGTGATGTAAAATATGGTATCTGCAGCAGTTACCACTTTTTACTTTGGATAACCTCAAAACATAAACTTAGAATGTTTTTACGTCACTCAGCTCAGTGATATTAATATTTGCGCTAGGATTCTAATCCGACTGTTTACAGGTTAATTAAGGATCATGTTGTGATGAAATTTCGTAGCAGGATTCACTGTGGACTTCACAATCTTCGAAAATATTATTGTTTGGACCGGTACTGACAGCCATTATTTTACACATGAAATATTCTTTATGCTGACAAACGTAAATACCATCTTTGACACTATTCCCATCTTCTCTTATATACAGACACAGAAGATAGTCACTGGAACCTATATTGTGCCTATATGGCATGTGGCTAAGCTGTGGCTAAGTTTGATAATGCGTCTGTAAATGAGCCACAAATTTATGCTTCAACTTAGCGTACTCATGCAAAAAATCGTCATTATTAGCCAATTTCCCTTCACTGAATAAATAATTCCACTACGTAAATAATTCCATTTGTGTTCTGAATTCAGTTGTCCACATTACTAAATAATGATAAAGGAAAATTCAGGAAACCTAAACCTGTATCTTTATAATCCTTATTTAATATTTGCAGAATCCATCATATGCACACTTTACGATATTTCAAGCATTTGGCCTTTTTTCGCCTGTTCTCTTTAAGGTCCTTTTCTGCTTCATCTAACCATCTATTTCTTGATCGACCTATTCTTCTTTTGTCGCCCATCTTTGTATTTAATAATATTTTTTTTTATTATTTCTTCTTTAATTTTTTCTAAATTCCCAATCATCTCAATATTGATGCTATTATACCTTCTCACATCGAAGGTTCTTTGTTTACTCAGACGAAGAAATTCCTAATTAATGGAAGCTTTTTAACTGGTCAAAAGAAACGTCACCAAATTCAAATTAATCGCAGTAGTGCTTAGTACCTTCATCTTATGCATAAGTATATAATACTAGAATCAAACATTGAATACGATATAGTTAAAAGTTTAAAATATTTTATGTTATACCTTTAATTCACAAATTTTTCACCATTAAAAAAATATATAAACAAAGAGCAATTAAAATGTTATCAAATCAGATATCTTCCTGATAGTCAGGAAGTGTTTAATCTTTTTGGTTTATGTAGAAAAGTTTATAAGAGATACGTTAATCATTTTTTGAATTATAATAGTTACCTGATGTAAAAGTGGGCGTCAGTTTGGCCCTTATTACTTTCCACTTCTCGTCTTCCAAGTTAAACAGATGTCCAGTTAAAGGATCAACATCCTCATTCACGTAAGTCCCATGGTTAGTAAAATGAGTAAAGTCTTTTAGCACAATGCATCTTATTAGATCCAAGTCAACAGGAACGAACATGGGCGTAAGGAATTCAAAGTATCCTCCATATTTTAAACCGCGGGCTTTGACTTTATGGTAAAGGTCTTCGACGATTGTGGTCATGGCACCATTAAGTTTGAGCTCTGATTGGGCACTCCCGTAAGGGAATGAGGGTTCTAAGTGAAAGACATTTCTGGTTTTCCAGTAGGAATATTTCCATTTTTGGTAGAGGTATACGAAGGCAGGGAGTCCTAGTATGATGTAGATCAGGATACTTATGTCCATCGCTGTATATAGTATAGAGCAAACCCTGTATAAAATAAAAAAAATTAATGTTATGGATAGACTAAGCTGTGTTTAATTTATTTTATATAACTTATATTTTGTAGTTTTCCTTTTTAGTATAAGTGTTAGAAAAAGTTATTACCTAAAAATAGAACTATTAATTGAGAAAATCTTGATCGAACATGTACGAACATAGACGATAAAAGCATAAAGACTGAATACAAACATAAGAGATATCGTGTGGAAAAATAAAATGGTTAAATATAATGTTAAACATAATCGTATCTATAGAAAGTGCGAAACAATCATCGGAGACGATCAGTTTGGATTCAGAGCCAGCATGGGAACGAGAGAAGCCCTGTTCAGTTTACTAGTTCTCGCCCAAAAATACTACGACCAACAGAAAGACATATTTATATGCTTTATAGACTTCGAAAAAGCATTTGATAGAGTAAGACACGACCTACTATTAAAACGTTTGCAACAAGTCGGTTTAGATGGAAAAGACATCAAATTCTTAAAATACTTGTACTGGAACCAAAACGCCAGAGTTAGGATCGAAGGTTCCACATCCGCAGAAGTAGAAATTAGGAGGGGAGTTAGACAAGGATGTGTTCTGTCGCCTCTGATGTTTAATCTTTACTTCGAGTTTCTATTTAAAGAAGCATTGGAGGATTCCAAGGATGGAGTCAATGTGAATGGCGTAAATATCAACAGTATCAAATACGCCGACAGTGTTAATTGCGGATTCCGACTTAGGTCTACAACGACTCATCGACAAGACCAACTCGACCTGTGAGCAATTTGGTATGCAAATAAACATTAAAAAAACCAAAGTGATGTCAATCCGAAAAAACCAAAACGTACCTCAACCTTGCACAATAAATGGGCACATTTTAGAACAGGTCAATAGATTTAAGTACCTGGGATGTTGGATCGATAGCAGCCTAAATCATGATCTAGAAATAAGATCGAGAATAAAATAGGCCAGAAAATCTTTCGAAAAAATAAAGCAGGACACATAGCCAGAATGACAGATGGGCGATGGACAAAGAGGTTATTGGAATGGAGGCCAAGGGAAGACAAGAGAAGCGTCGGTCGACCATATACAAGATGGACTGACGATTTAAGAAAACTCAATAAAAACTGGATAAGAGCGGCGCAAGATAGATGGGGTTGGAAACATGAGGAAGAGGCCTATGTTCAGCAGTGGACTCTTGAGGCTGGATGATGATGATGATGAGTAGAAGAATTAGAAAAAGTTATTACCTAAAAATAGAACTATTCATTGAGAGAAACTTAGAGAGAAGCATACTAGCGTAAGAGACATCGTGTGGAAAAATAAAATGGTAAAATATAATGGTTACGAAAAATATATTATATATCATAATGTTGTTGGATTTTTTTCGTCATTGAGAACAATAAACGAGATACATTCCTCTAACATTCAGTAACATGCTGCATGGATTGTTTGTCGTAATTCGTGCGGTATCGATGAATGAAATTGTATTGTTATTATTACGAACTGTTTAAAATTTATTATTTTTTTCATGTAATAATGACTTGCTGTATTTAACAACTTTCTATTTTTTCAAAGCTATCTCTTACGATGAATGGATCCGAATATATATAATAAATATTCTCGTGTTTTTGATTGTTTAAAAAAATACCGCTGTTTAGTGCAGAAGTGATACAATGGATGGTTTTCTTGTGGACAGTTGTTTTGTGAATTGACGGTTTATCTGTTAAAGACTAGTAAAAGTTTAACATCGATTTATCATTTTCTTTATAGATCTAAGTTCAGTTACTACTGAAAAATCTCCCAAATAATATTGTTAGGATTATAAAAACTAATACCAGACTATTGGGACATACTGACAACAACTTTTTTAATATATCTAATCCTACTACATTCTGCCGAGGAATTTGCTACACAATTGGCCTCATTTAACACAATTAAAGCTTCTTTGATTTTTCTTTTTTTACTATCCGTTTCTTTTAGGACTACATTTGAATTATTACATTGAACACTATGTTCATTATCCCATGCGTATTTACATATTTGAGATCTATCAAATTCTCTATTTTTAATATAAGATTGATGTTCACTTATTCTAATATTTAATGGCCTTGACGTTTCACCTAAATAAAACTGATCGCATTTACAAGATATTTTATAAATGCAATTCTTTGTCCTTTCCTGTTCATTGTTAGGTTTGGTTTTTGGACAAAATAGACGTGTTTGTTGTTTTGAATGTTATTGAAATGTTGAATTTATTTCCTATCCTTTTAAGTTTTTCTGATAATCCTTTTATGTACGGTATTATTATTTTCCCAAATAGGATTAAACTTAAAAGGATCGGAAATAAATTCAAAACAACAAACACGTTGAGATCTATTTTGTCCAAAACCAAACCTAACAATGAACAAGAAAGGACAAAGACTTGCATTTATAAAATACCTTGTGAATCCGATCAGTTTTATTTAGGTGAAACATCAAGGCCATTAAATGTTCGAATAAGTGAACATCAATCTTATATTAAAAATAGAGAATTTGATAAATCTCAAATATGTAAATACGCATGGGATAATGAACATAGTGCTCAATGGAATAAATTAAATGTGGTCCTAAAAGAAACGGATGGTAAAAAAAGAAAAATCAAAGAAGCGGCTCTAGTTATGCTAAATGAGGCCAATTGTGTCGCAAATTCCTCGGCAGAATGTAGTAGGATCTGGTTACCAATATTGAAAAAGGAAGTTATTTATTTATTTAGCGTATAGCTACATCACAAGTTCATATATATCATCATCATCATATATATACATATAATAAAAATTATATAAATTACAAACAACAGTAAATACAAAAATAATGTATGTCTAAATTGTCAATATAAATGAGTCAGATAAAATTAAATTATTAGAAGAATTTTTCACTATGTAACAAAAAACAAAATTTGTTTAATTTACTGTTTGTATTTTGAGAACGATTTCCGAAGTGGAAATTGAAACGTCAATAAACGTATTTTTATCTTTAATTATGGCTTATTCCCAGTTAAATAGTAATTAATTGGAAATAAATGTATTAAAGAATATGTGTGGAACCGATTGCGATTGAAATGAGTGTTAATAACGTGTTAATAGGGTTATGTCTATTTTCAATGTTATGTTTAATAATAATCACTCAATATGAAGTATGGCTAAAATTCATTATAAAAGACTGAAACGTAGAAATATATTTAAAGAAACTACTTCCGCGTAGGCATAAAGGTAGAGAGAAAGATAATAATGATGAACCAGTATTATCTAACACATGACAAAACTAACACATGGCAAAAAATCCACTTATTGTCACTATCCTATAATGAAAGAAAAAGTTCAGGAAGAATTTATGGAAGTAAAGACTGTAACACGTATATATAAATTATATTATCTCACGTATTTAAGTAGATACCTACCTTTTGCAATCAGCGATGTAGACACAGATCAACTAAATTTTTAATTTTTTTTTTTGAGATTTTTTAAAATATCTTGACCTTATTCATAATTTTTTTTATCAACGTTATCTTTTATCGTTTTTTAATAAACACCGGTGGTAGACTTATTTAACGGTAATCGAATACTTTTCACGTATCATTGTGGGAAATAATCGACTAGTATTTAAATTAACTAAAAAATATAAGATGATAACACCAATATAAAACTTCTTAACATTTTAAAATATTACACTAAGAAAATATAAAAAAAAAAACATTCAATTCGTTCTTCTTCTTCTTCTTGTGCCACTCCTATCGTAGATTGGAAATCCTCAAGGCTATCCACACCTTATTTACAGCTGACCTAAAGAGTTCATTACTGGTACAGCTAAACCACTCTCTCAAATTACGCAACCATGACATTCTTCTACGGCCTGGATTCCGTTTTCCTTCTATTTTTCCTTGCATTATATTTTAAAGTAATGCGTATTTATGTCTTTTCATCAAGTTACCCAAATATTCCAGTTTTTCTCGTTTGATTGTTAAACAAATTTCTGGTTCTTTTCCTATCCTTTTCGACTTTTTAAACCCAACTTGTCTTCAGCATTCGATGGTTGCACCACATCTCGAAACTTTCAATATTTTTTATGTTGTTCTGTTTGAGAGTCCAGGCCTCTACACCGTATAATAGCGTGTTAAATACGCAAGCATTCTTAATCGTAAAGCGATGCTTATATCTCTGTTGTAGAACAATTTCCTCATCTTTACGAAGGTGCCTCTGGCAATTTCGATACGTCTTTTTATTTCATTGTTTTGGTCTCCAGTTTCGTTTATTGAAGTCCCCAAGTATTTGTAACTTGATTTAACTTTGATATTGATATTAATGGCATAAGTGTTGCAGGCAATATTTATATTTGTAAGTAATCGTTGTAATTCTTCTGCTGTTCTTGCAACTAGTATAGTGTCGTCTGCATATCGAATATTATTTACAACCTCTCCATTGATTACGATTCCTTCGTTTGCTTGCAAAAGGGTGTGCTATGGTTAATATTCTATTGTTAAGTTCTAACTCTCTATCACAATATATACACGCTAATAACCCTGCGTGGTTGCTGCGTCATGAAAGAAAAAACTGACAATGTTTTTAGTTTGGAAAAAGTAAACTGATTGTTGCGAAACTGTAGATAAAATAATTATTTTTTTTTTGCTTAAAAAACTGACATTTTTGTCACACTAATAACAAATTACATTCTTAAATTAATTATTAACATTATATACAAAATTTGTTAAAAATCAAAAAAGTGATACTACTTCTTCATTTGTAACTTTTACAAATGCTGTCAAAACCATTTGCACGCCCATTTATATTTTACATTTATAAATAAAACCACAATAAGCTCCCTAACTATTGTCTAGGAGACTCTTTAAAACCCTTATTACTATGGAGATTATTAAATACTGGTTTTCAAACGGAAATTGCACATTCCTTTACTGCACGGACATATGAAACTGTAACAAAAAATGTGTGTGCTGCGAGGTTTAGGATGTCAATGTAATAAAAGTGTGTATGTGTAATGTAACACAAGTATTTGAGGTAATGTAAAAGATAACATATAATTTAAGGCTGGCTAACAGAAGGTGCCGGAGAGTGACACTCAAAAGAGGATTCGGCCAATTGGCATGCCCTACAGAGACCGTAGAATAAGAAAATGAATGACAAGGTAATAAACAATCCATAGGTATATAACTAATGTAAATAAAAGTGATTATAGAAGTTGCCCCAAAATGTGAGTGGGCGCCAGGAAAGTCTTGCCATAAACTTTACAAGGTATCTTGTAAAGCTATTTGCTGAAATAAAAAAAAGGATACAGGTATGAATTGAAATATTTAGTTTTCACCAAAAATTTAATCCCTATCCAATATATATATAATCTAAATTTACCCTAAAATACCGACCACCAATTATGTACAATCAACCTAGTTAATTAAATACAAAAAATAAATTCCCTGGTTATACACAACTGATTCTTGATGATCTAAATTTAGAAATAATAAGATATATGAAAAATTTTAAAGATTTGATCTAAAAAGGTAATTTACTTGCCTCGGAAATGTAACTCTGTACTTGGGATTTCAATTGAATGTCTTAACAAGTAATAAGGACATTATCCTGACGGGATAGATGCCGAAAGGTTTAAATATATAATAATAATAAAATATCAATAAATAACTCTCGGATTAAATGTGTACACATAAAACCGTACAACAGAGTTGAAAGGCAGGACTTAAAAACCTTTACCTGTATTTGACAATTAGTCCTTAAATGTTATTAAATGAAATAGTAGAAGTTAAATATACAAAAAAAAAAATATTATACAAAAAATATTATTAAATTGGTGAATAAGACTTAATACAAATGAATAGTGTCCCACACTCTAAATGGGGGAGGTCGTTCCGGCTGGTTTCCTGAAGTGGTCCGGGAATAGTTTAAGAGAAGTCTAGACCTCTTAACGAACAGCTATGGATGACGGACAAATGTGTAAATCCAAACTTAATTATTTCTTTTCTTAAAAATCCAAAATCCAAAAAAACAAAATGCAGAATTCTTCCCCTTACTTCTGCTTGACTCCCAAAGGTAGGCGACTCGAGAATGGCTATAAACCAAATACGACACTTAAAAAAACCTCAAACTAAAACTTTTCTGCTAAAAAGTTCTTTCTCTTTCTCTTCATAAAAAAAAACTTTAAATTCTAAAAAAAACCTTTTTTTAAGCCACCTCTGTCCCCTACCTTTGAACTCAAGTGTCTTTCAAGAACGTCGAAGCAGAAGTGAGCGGTAGTCACTTGTTTTGAGCTAGCTAAACTATGGTTGCAAACCTGAACACTTGGTGTCGCTGTTTAATACCAACTTAAACTTTAAGAATTAAGAAAACCATTAAGAGGATTTGATTTTAAAAATTTTATTTAAAAATGTTTAAAGATTATTAAAGTAACGGACTCGTTACAAAACGAAGTAGGTATAGTTTTTTAATCAGCCAGTACGCATTTTTCAAATGAACATTAGACTGCTTAACTTCATGAGTGATCCATTTTTTATTGCAAGTCTGCTTATTAACATTATACCGTTTTACTGGACTGAACAGTAATAATCTAGGGAGAGAATAATAATTGTTTAATAAGTAAATAAATAGTTTATTCATACATTTATTTTATCTCTTTTCTTATCTTCTTTAAACAATGTACTTGAAAAATGTTTCAAATCATGCCAAATAGGTGCCAAAAAATTATATCAGTATGTAGGTATTTTGATACAGCAAATAGTAGATATAAAAACAAAAAATTTATTAAATAGAACAAACAGCAGAGTAATAATTTAAATATTATTTGTTGGAATAATGATATTAAATAAAATAAATGCTTGTATTTGGAATGCAGCAGGTTGCAATGAGTCGTGAACAAAAAGTATTCTATTAAAATATTTCGTCCTATGTAACGGGTTGTAAGTTTAGCCAAATGCCCCCCTTTACAGTTGAGATAGAGTTGCTGTCATATTTTATTGGCAATTGTGTTTTTTCATTCAAAGTAACCTTATACCTTCTTAAAATGCAACAAAGGCCGACTTTACTTTGTAGTTTTCCAAATCTCAAACCTAAAATATATTAGAAAAATATTGAAGGAACTTGGTAACTATTTAAAGTTTAGTATCTATAATTACAGTCATGGTAACCACAGTAATAGTGACAAATATCAGGCAAACACAAACTTTAACTTAAGAATAAAAAGGTGCATTTACAGCAGACTTGAATTCCTACTCACTTGGAACTTGAAATCTGACTGATATAACTAAAATTATTGGTCAAGTTGGAGCTGTAATAAGCACGGCCAAAAATCATAATATACCAAGAGGCTACTGAAAAGAATACATTCCTGGTTGGTCCCATAACAGCGAAAAACTGTACCAAAATTTCCTTGAAAGCGGCGATCAAGAATTAGCCGATAAACTGCTCCATAGCCTAGATGCAGCGAGACAACAAAAATGGACGGAAACTGTAGAAAGTCTTAATTTTCAATCGTCAAGTAGGCAAGCATGGACACTACTAAGAAAATTAAGAAGTGGAATCCCCATAACAAGGAACAAAGCAACAATTAACCCAAAACTATTGTCTCACATCTAGTATCGACATCTAGGGTCCCGAAAGGCCATATTAAAACCAGGGAACCAAATGATAGCAACCCTAAGAACTACAGACCAATAGCCCTACTATCGGTAACGTTCAAACTACTAGAACGACTTATCTACAACAGAATTAGTCAGAAGCTACTTGAATCGATATCGGTTCATCAAGCAGGTTTCCGACCGAAAAGAAGCTGCTCAGATCAGGTCCTTTCACTTACCACATTTATTAAGGCAGGGTTCCAGAGAAAACTTAAAACTACAGCCGCATTCATAGACCTAACAGCGGCCTACGATACAGTCTGGAGAGAAGGCATGATATACTCCGTATAATCTCCTGTAAATTAACTGCTCCAATAATCAACAGCATGCTAGCCGACCGAACGATTCAAGTAGGCATGGGAACCAACATCAGCACTCCTCTTCTCTTTAGCCTGTACATCGCTGATATACCAGAAACCAGATCAAGGAAGTTTGGTTACGCCGATGACTGGGTCCTTGCAACGATGTGTAAGTCATTTGAACAAACAGAAGAAATCCTTACGGCAGACTTACACACAGTGGGAAAATATTTCCGTAAATGGAGGCTCCAACCAAACGCTACCAAAATGGAAGTTTCCAGTTTTCACCTAACTAACAAGCTGGCAGGAAGAACACTGAAAGTTCAATTCGAAAACACCACACTTGGCTACAATAAAACACCAAAATACCTTGGAATGACTCTTGATAGAACCCTATCTTTCAAGGAACATCTGTCAAAAACAGCGCAAAAACTTAAATCCAGAAACAACATCATCCAGAAGCTGTGCGGCACAACATGTGGAGCATCGGCTTCCACCCTGCGATCATCTGCCCTGGGCCTTGTTTTCTTAACCGCGGAATACTGCTCTTCAGCCTGGATTAACAGCCCACATACACACAAAGTAGATGCTCAATTGAATAATACAATGAGAATGATTGCTGGTGATATCAAATCCACCCCTACGCAATGGCTCCCAGTTCTGAGCTACATTCCACCACCCAAGCTACGGCGTATACACTCCCTCACTAGTGAGTACTAAAAGATACTTAGCAACTAGACCCTGCCAATTCATCACGATATAGATGCTGCCAACGATAACCGTTTGCGCTCCAGTCGTCCGCCAATAAAAACAGCACAGATTGCACTGGAAAATGAGTTCAACTTAATGACTACTTGGACACGAGAATGGATGGAACAACAAAATAGCAGCTTACCCTGCATCACACAAAAATCACCAGGTTTTTATTTACCACGCAACACATGGACTATGTTGAACCGAATCAGAACCAAACATGACAGATGCGGTTATATGATGCACAAATGGGGTAAACGAAAATCCCCACTCTGTAACTGCGGACAACCACAAACCATCTGTCACATCACAGAACAATGCCTCACAAGGCAGGCCAGAGGATTTCCTAATTGCGACTCCAGAGTCGATAGAATATATAAATAAGTTAGATGTTCGTTTGTAAACATATATGTATTATGTTTTATACAAATTATATGTAAATTTACATGTAAATGTGTCACGGGCCATACGATAAATAAAAAATAAATATTGGTCAAGTTAAGGGATCGTATATAATGCTAATCAGACAATACCCATTACCATTCGGTTAACTCTAAAATGAAAATATGACAAAAAAAAAATAAATCAAAGGATAAGTTTAGTAGATAAACAACAGAGTTTTCGTTCTAAAAGATCGTGTACAGATGCAATATTTGTCATAAAGAAAATTAGTGAGAAAGCACTAGAGTATAATTGAGCATCATTAAAACTATTAATCACATCTACCAAACCAACAAAATGGAAGTAAGAATATATAAACAACTTACAGAACCTATAGAACTTGACAGCAAAATAATACTCATTGAGTCGTATGCTCTTCAATTTAATCATGGATGAAATCATCAAAAGCGTTAACAAAGGAAGAGGATACAGAATGGTTAACAAGAATTAAAAATGCTCTGTTATGCAGACGACGCAATAGTCCAAGGTAAAGATAGTCCACAAAAACTTGTCCACATATTTAACAAAAGAGCAAAAGAATTTAATAGGAAAAGCTGATCTCAGAGAACTTAAGTAATGGTAATCAGCAAAGAACCAACCATATCTAAAATAGAAATTGATGTCATTAGTATTGAACAAGTGATGGAAATAACATACACTTTCCAGCTATACAGACCTGGACAAATAAGTACAAATAGCAAATAGACTGACAGGATGCCTTAATAACACTATATGGCGGAACAGACATATTAACACTGAGATGAAGTCAAGAATTTATAAAGCCAATATAAGACCAATAATGACATATGTCTCAGAAACAAGACCCAATACAGCCACAACATAAAGGCTACTGTAAACGGCAGAGATAAGAGTATTGAGAAGAATTACTGGAAATACGCTGAGAAATCGAAAGAGTGTATAAAGATATGGACTCTAAATAGAAAAAAGGATAGAATAACCATATAAGCAGAATGGGGAAGACCCGTGTCGTTAAAATAGGAAGAGATAAATCACCAATCAGCAGAAGAAGTATCAGAAGTATTATATCAAAAATATATGCCAAAAAATAACAATTAAAAAAATCGACCTGTTTCGGGATTGGTCTCCAAAATCGCTCATTCCCGTAAAAACGAATTTATTCCATAATTTTACTCTTACTTTATATTAAAACATTATTAAACATTAAAAAGAACGTCTTTAAAAATCATACAGGTGTACGCTCCAACAAGTACCTACAGCGATGAAGATATTGAACATTTCTACGAAGACATAACAACAGCTATGGAAGAAAAGAAATCAAAATTAACGCTAATAATCGAAAACTGCAATGCCAAAATAGGAAAACAACTGTATAAAGAAGAGGACAAAGTAGGACACCATGGATACGGCAAAAGAAATGATAGAGGACACACATTGATGAATTACTTGGAAGAGAAGCAACTATATGCAATGAATACATTCTTTAAGAAAAAACCCAAAGAAAATGGACAAGGATTAGTCCCAATGGTGAAACTAAAAACAAAATTGATTATATTCTTTCAACGCAAAAATCCATGGCTAAAAACGTAACAGCCGTAAATCGCTTCTCAACTGGTAGCGACCATAGACTAGTCCGAGCCAAGTTGATTATTAATAGTAGATTTGAAACAAGAAAGAAAATAGAAAATATTCAGAAATTAGACATGGAAAAACTAAAACAAGAAAAACAGACGTACGAAGAGAGAATAAAGGAAATATTGCCGACCAATAAAAATATAGAACACAAACATATTGATGAAATAAACATAATATTTACTGAAACTCTAATGAAAGTGGATAAAGAAATAGCACAGAAAACAACAAAAAAAGAAAGTTTCATATCACAGGAAACAAAGATTCTTATGAACACAAAAAGAACATTACTAGAACAAGGGGACAGATATACAATGGAACACAAAGAAATAAACAAAACTATTAGAAAAAATATTAAGCAGTGTAAACGGAGAGTACAGGAAGAAAAGATAGAGAAAACAATTGAAAAAAAAAATAGAAACATGAAGTGCTTAAAGCAGAACCTGGAAAACATACAAATTAATAGCATAAAGAACAAAGAAGGAGTGGAGACCAAGAATATAAAAGAAATTTTACAGACAACGCACGAATATTATACAAATCTCTATAAAACAGAAAAAAATGCAACCCAAGAAATCCGTAATCAGTTACAACTGAAAATAAAGTAAAATTATTAACGTTAAGTCTGACCTACAACCAGAAATCAGTAAACATGAAATAAAAAAGGCACTCAAAGAAATGAAGAATAACAAATCTCCTGGGAAAGATGAAATAATTGTGGAAATGCTAAAAAATGGGGGGAAAACTACAGTGAAGTCATTTATCTACTAATAAATAAAATATTGAACACAAAACAAATACCCACAACATGGAACGAGACAATAACACTATTACTATTTAAGAACGGCGATAGAAAAGATCTGAAAAACTATAAGCCCATTATGCTACTTAATGTAATGTACAAAATGTTAACTAAACTACTAACAAACAGATTAACAACTAAGTTACATAACTACTAGTCAAGAGAGCAAGCCGGTTTTAGAGAAGGATTCAGTATAAGCGACCATCTGCTTACGATAAAAATATTTACTGAAAACGTCAACGAATATCAAATTCCAATCTTCTTCTTAAGGTGCTGTGCATTTCTGCGTAGGTCTTGTGCTACATCGTCTTGTCAGGTGAGATGTTAAATAGTCATGATTAAATTATTCTATTTTTAGCAGCATTGCGAAGCATTTCATAGCTGTGGATTCCTGTCTATTGTCGAATATTGCGCAGCCATGACATTTTTTTACGTCCCAGACCTCTCCTACCCACTATTTTCCCTTCGAGTATTAGTTGCTGAAAAGTGTATCTTTCTCCTCGTAATATGAGCCCCAAGTATGCAGTCTTCTTACTTTTTACATAACTAAAAAGTTCCCTATTCTGTAAGCCCGCTCTTCTGAGTACTTCCTCATTTCTGACCCTGTCCGTCCAGCAACAACATCCATTAAAATAGTTGAACAAACGGAGCCTATTAAGATACGGCGAGGAGTCAGACAGGGTAACACTGTATCACTCAAACTATTCAATGAAGCTTTGGAAAACGTTATGAGGAAATTACAATGGCAAAATAGGGTATTAACATAAATGGCCAATACTTGAATCACTTGAGATATGCAGACAACATTGTATTAATAACAGATAAAAGAGAAGAATTACAAAATATGATGAATGAATTAAATAGAGTATAAAAATAATAGGTTTACAAATGAATTATAATAAAACGAAAATTATGACCAACCAACTAGAAAAATTAATAATTACAATTGCACAAACAACTATTAAACAAAATAGTAAAAGAATATGTATATTTGAGACAACTAGTTAAATTAAATAAAGAAAATCGGACCGGAGAAATAAAGAAAAGGATATAGTTGGCTTGGGTATCATTCGGAAAACTTTAGTAGATACTAACAAATAGAAAATACCCCCAATATTTAAAAACAAAAGTCTTCAACCAATATATATTTTAAGTTCTCACCTAAAGTTTTCAAAACTTGGATGTTTACAAAAGAAAACATGGAAAAAATAGCAAAGACCCAAAGAGCTAAAGACCCAAAATTTGACAGCAAGGGCTGTATAGATAGATAGAGATATATAAAACATTATACATACCTATACATGTTCTAGGTCCTTCCCCAAATGGTAAATAAGAATATGGATGTCTTTTGGCTTTATTTTCTTCGTTGAACCTCTCTGGATCAAACTTTTCGGGATCTGGATAGTAATCCGGATCTCTGTGAATCGATAATACTGGAATGTTTACTCTTATGCCAGCAGTAATAACAACATCACTGTCTGGAATTTGGTAGTTCTTGGTACAAATACGTGGTAACATTCCTAAAGGTGGATGTTTTCTGAGAGATTCTAGAAGATGTTAATATGATTCAGTATTATAAAATAATATTATTTTTATAAAGAAATAATAACTGGATTAACTAGATAACTTTATTCGATTACCTAAAATCAATTTTAAATTGAAAATACCCGTCAGAAAAAAATCATAGCATGTAAATTATCTTTAAAAAAATAACCACATGCAGTGATCACAGTAATGTTCTCCTGTTAATGGTTTCTTAGTAAATCATGAGAAAAAAAAACAGAAAAAAAACCTCATGATACAAATGTTTATTCTTTCTTGTTCATTGTTAGGTTTAGTTTTAAATAAAACAGATCTTAATGTGTTTGTTGTTTTGAATGTTTGTTCAACTGTTGAATTTAATTCCTATCTTATTAAGTTCTAAGTTGTACTATTACATTCGGTCTATTCTTGAAAATTCCTTATTTATAAACGACAAAGGATAATCATTTTATAACAAAACAAATGTTAACAAATGTTTCTCCTCTAAGAAAGAAATTTTGTGAGAACAAGTAATTTTGGCTCTATCGTATAAGAATTAACTGATTTAATTTTTTATATTGGTATTGTGGTTTGATTTGTAATTTAAATATTTGTTGGGGTGTGTTGGTTTTCTATATTATTCTATTTCGTCTATTATCAAAAAAAATTTCTTCGTTTTTTTGAGATCCCTACCCTGTTCTTATTCAGACGTTGGCCACCATTGTATTTATAGTTTCCCGAAATTTTTATTCTTTCTTCTGTGCTGAGCGAAATAATTCTTTCACCTTAACATGACACGACTACCTGATTTAACGCAACAATGAGGGTTTTTTCCTGCCAAGCAATCTTTGTTATTCAAATTTTCTTTGTATTATAAGGCGAAGTAGATAATATATTATCTATATATCTATATCATTAATAATATATTTATATATAATTAATTATATATCATAATATTTAATATTGTATATATATATATATATATATATATATATATATATATATATATATATATATATATATATATATATATAAGGTAGTCCAAAATTTTTTTGTGACTAGTTTGGAAAAAATATATGTAAATACTTTTTTTTTTTTGGGTGTGGTAGTCAATAAAAAAATAGAGCTTTGCTAAGACGTACTATTTATTCTGAATCCGAGCTTTCGGTGGTTGTTTGCCACCTTTATCAAGGTCTACAATGAAAATTACTGTGTTATAAACTTTGACTGATGCATTATAAAAGTTATAAAAACTTACCAGAAAGTAAGATTCGTAGCATATAAACACAACGTTAAATAACATAATATGACATGAATTGTTGAAGGCATTAAAACTGTTAAAATTTAAAAATAACTTTAAAGTAAATGGATACGTTACAAAGTTTAAAATGTAAAAAGTAAGACGACATGTTTGACAAAAAAACAGTCGTCTTTGCAGGTTTGAATTCAGTCACATCTCACGAACAGAAAGAGGCAGTAGGAGGAACTATTGTTGTTTAAATAGTTCGATGCAACTACAAAAAACAAACTTTCAAACTGATGTCTAACAAATTACCGTTTGTGATTTTAAATACTACCAACCATATTACCAATCTTAAATTGAGAGGGAAATTTAAAAAAGTTAATTATCTCAAACAATAAAAAGAAAATAGTATTTAGTAAGTAGATTTAGAAAAAACAAACAACCAAAAACAAAATGAACTATCTGAATAATAACTTAAGTTAATCATAATAATTATAGCAATTAATAAAGGAATTTAAGAAACAAGACAAGAACACTCTGAGATGCAGAAAAGCTCAGTCAAAAGTCAAAATAAAATTGTAAATTTTGCTGAGATTCTGGATCTCAGATCTTTTATTCAGATTGTTGTTATCACTCTTGCTGATATGTACCATTTCTAAGAATGTTTTTTTAAATTTATTTTTCTCTCTGGCTAATATTTTTACATTGTTGAAATCTATCTTATGGTCTAGATCGATAGTATGTTCTGCCAAAGCACAAGTGGGTTTTTTAGTCTACAGTCACTCTTATGAGAAATGATACGACTAGACAGATTTCTTCCAGTTTCACCAATGTACGTGGATGGACATTCAGTACATTGAATGCAATAAACAACATCTCTTGACTCTAAAGTAGTTAGGGGTTGTTTTATTTTGCTATACAGCTGACGTATGGTTTTGATGTTCTTGTTAGCTATTTTGATGTTCTTAAATTCTTTGAAAATTTTAGTGAGTTCTACGGTTAGTTTTGGAATATACGGAAGGGCATAAAAATACACACTTGTTTGAGCAGAATTATTTTGTGCTGAGGGCACTGATTGTGAATTAGTCAGAATGTTATTTCTATTAACGAATGGAACATTAAAAATTAATTTATTAATCAGTCTTAGAGGATATGAATTTTCAACAAAAATATTCTGTAAGAGGTTAAGATCATGTTGGAGATAATCTGGATGTGATAACCTTTTGACACGTTCTTTCATTGCTAGGACTAGGTTGGTTTTCATTCTAGGAGGATGGTGGGAATGGTAGCTTATGAATCTATTGCTACATATAGGTTTTCTATACCATTGTGTCTTCACACATTATCCTCACATCTATGCAATCTCATGTCAAAGAAGGGCAAAGATCCCTCCCGCTCTTCCTCGCATGTGAATTGCAAGTGTGGGTTTTGTCTGTTTTACATTTTAAACTTTGTAACGTATCCAATAACTTTTAAGTTATTTTGAAATTTTAACAGTTTTAATGCCTTCAACAATTCATGTCATATTATGTTATTTAAGCTTATGTTTATATGCTACGAATCTTACTTTCTGGAAAGTTTTTATAACTTTTATATTGCATCAGTCAAAGGTTATAACACCGTAATTTTCATTGTAGACCTTGATAAAGGTGGCAAACAACCACCGAAAGCTCGGATTCAGAATAAATAGTACGCCTTAGCAAAGCTCTATTTTTTTATTGACTACCACACCCAAAAAGAAAAAAGTATTTATATATATATATATATATATATATATATATATATATATATATATATATTATTATGTATATATATATATATATATATATATACTATCACATATATTATAATAATTGTAGTATTATTAATAAACCCTATCACAAATTATATGCAATACAAATTTTTGTTGCATATGACTGATGTCTACATGGTAAAGGCTGCATTATTTAACTTTTGCTAATTACATCTTGATCAAAGTTACCGTCCTTATTCTACCAGCATTTCATATAGTTTATACTTTTTATCCTTTTTTCATTGTGTCAAAACTGAAAGTGATTTATATTGATCTTCTCAACTGAGAAACAAGAAACAAAAAAAAACGAAATAATCACAGATCCATCACAAAAAATAACGCAAACAAGTAGAGACAAAGAAAAATTTTGTTACTGTTATAATAACAAGTCTAAAATGTACATAAATTAAATATTTTATTTTTACGTACCTATGGTCTTAGTTCCAACTAAATTTCAAACTAAAAATATAAAATCTCTTACCTAACACCACTTTCTCCAAATACTCCATATCCATGATTGATTCATAAGTCACCTTATTATCATGTTTCGCAAGAACCCTGTTGATTTCATCTCTTACTTTATTTTGAAGTTCTTCGTTTTGAGCTAACTCTAAAAGAGCAAAAGACATCGTTGTGGCTGATGTCTCGAACCCAGCAAGGAAAAAAACGAACGACTGTGCTGCCATCTCGTTTATAGACAAACCCTGGATGTTATTATTATTTTTCTGCATTAACTGGTCTTCATTATCTTCAGAAATTTTGCCCATATTCTTCAACTGGATAAGTAGATGCATAAAGTCTTTTCTGTAAACGTTGTTTTCCTCTCTGTATGCTACGGTTTTCTTCACCAAATTAATAAAAAAGCTCTCAGTATCTTTGGAAAATATTTTTATACCGATTTTCTTGCTCAACCAAGTCGGTAATATACTAAGAAAGATAAACTTTATCCTGCCTAATAAAGTAATTTTAAAAATTCTTTTGCCGTATTCTCTAAACTCAGAGTCTGGGTTCTTCATGCTGTTTATATCCAGACCGAATGCCACTGACCCAATGACGTCAGTGGTGAAGCAGCCTAAAACGTCTTTTATATCCACGGGCTCTGTGCTCGATGAAGCGTTCTTTAGCATTTCCTGAAGGCCTTCTGATGAGCTAACCATAGTTTGAAACATCATCTTCATTTTCCCTAAAGTTTGAGTTATATGTAAATTAGATGAAATGTTTCTGATCAGAGAAATCAATTTAAAAAAAAAATTTGTAGGATTAAAAAAATTGCAAGAAAGCTAACGCCAACAGGATCAACGCCTTTGACATGTGGATAATGATAAGGATAATATGGATTACATGGACTTATCGTACAAATGAGTCTGTGCTTTAAAAAATAAATATTACAAACAGACTCACCACAAAAATAAACAAAAATGTTCTAAGGTACTCTGATCATATTACTAGAAGGAAAAGAAAACGGAAAAAATGACCGTCGAAGGTAGAGTCTAACATTAAGAGGCAGATCTCCTTCATGGTGAAATGATCAAATTAAAAATTCCACACGATTTTTTTCCCGAAAGCATCTCACAAAGCTCAAAAGCTACGCAAGCACGGGTAAGGAGGTCAAGAAGAAGAGAAAAAAATGTCCAAGTCTTTTTAAACTTGGTACATGAGGTCAGCAATGAAACTTGGTCATAGGAAAAACGTAATTAAATTGTGGCGATAGGTCTTAAAGCCGTAATGAAACCACTATAGTGTTTAGAGTTGAAGAAATGTGACACAACAACATGAAATGTGCAACAGTTCGGTAATTTAGATAACAACCTCGTCCAAAAAAACAACAAGGTATTACATGCTGTCTGACATGAGGCGATGAGACCATTCTCAGATGTTAAACTAATTTTTTCAAAAACTAAAAAACAAAATTGTAGTGGACACCTAGACACAATATTTATTGTAATCGAAACCGTCCTCCAACAAGAAGATTTGATAAAATCATACTAACTCAGCTCAACTGGTTTTAAGGTGTTCAAGATCCGATGTAACTGAATTATTTTCGCGAGGCCTATGTTCAGCAGTACTCTTAAAACTACTAATAATGATGATGATGGTGAAGCCATACTTATGCGTGCAAAACAGCACAAAGAAACCTAAATTTAAACACGTAGATCATACTGGGAAGCTATACCGGGCTAAGGACATAGCAACTTTTTTACTAGGCACCAACACAACGAAAGTACTTTAGATAGCAATCAAGAAAAAATTGAAAGTTATAGGCACAGCTATATAAAATGAAGCCATTTCGTGGAGACTTAAGCTTTAAATTCTGTAGCAGAGAACCTGAAACAGTCAATCATATTTTGTTTGAATTTAAGGTAAAGGTCCTTCATCCGAGGAAACAAACAGTTTTTAAAGACAACACAGTAACTCTAAAAACATATTGTAACTATCTTTTTTACCAGTACAAACTGGAACAGAATTCTATAATTCTGGAAAAGGTGTCCCGAACAAATAAAAGATGTACAATAGGCGAATGGACTGCAGTACGAGAAAAAAAAACATTTTAGTAATTTTTTTTTGTTATTTAGTAAACAATATTTTTAAAAAATAGATAGACTCTACCTCTCCTAGTTTCTGGGTAAACTGAGTAGCTCGATAACCATAAGTGCCGGTCCTAAGTCTAGATAAAGAAGGAGAGTTTGCGTCAAGAAGGGCATCCAGCATGAAGCAATTCGTGCCTCCCGAAAATTAATGCCGGCGGAACCCAGGTCTACCTGGCATTTCAGCATACGACCTTTAGCTTGCCACTAACCCCTACTAGTCCGATATCATTTAAGCATGGCGAGTTGCAAGGAGCACTGTGAGGCTCCACCTTTCTCGTAGTACCTGTGTTACGGTACGACACCCCCCTCAGGCAAGAGTAGGTACGTGTCGTAAAGCCCGCGCCCTTATTGGGGAAATGGTGCATGAGGACGCAGCATGGTTCCACGAGAGGCTCGTCTCGAATACTATGAGTATAGACCGTTGACCATGACGTCGAAGCGCCCTCCATGCGTTTCTACAAACCCGACACCTCGATCAGCGGCTCTCCACCACTTCATTCCTTCCCATTAGTCGCCTCTTACGATAGGCAGATATAACTTGCCCCGGCTATATTTGCTCCTTAGTAGCCGTCTCCTCCAGCAGTAAAAACCTTAGAAGAAACACCATAGAAGAAAGAAATATAGAAAGCAGTTTAGAGGCTTAGGTGTTCCCCATAAACGACACGCAGTTACGGCCTCGCCTGACCCTGCGAAAAGTTATCTATGGCTATCCCTTCGACGACGGAAGGGGAATTTGTGTACTTGGTGTGCAGGAAACTCGTTGGAAAGGTAATAAGTCGAGATATCTTGGATATGGATGCAAGTTAATATATAGTAGTTTGACAATCACGGCCGAAATGAAGTAGATATGGACAACGAGTGGAAGAAACATTTTGTAAGTGTAACAAGAAGAAGTGATATAATTAGTGTCCAACTGAATAAAGGCAATACCAACTTGAACATCATATGTGCCTAGGCTTCATAGGTAGAATGCGAAAAACAGGAACAGATACTCCAGATTGCTGTAGATGAAAAGTATTTTACTGGAGGTTATTTGAATGGTCAGTGAAAGTCAAGTCGGTCAGATAGCTCATCGGGCTGTGCGGCTGCCTCTCATTCGCTTCATTGTCGAATGGTTCAGTGGATGTGGGTTCGAGCCCCAGCTCGGTGTACAGAAAACAAAAAGTCTAACGCAGCAGTTTAAAATTCTAGGTGAATCTGCGGCTTAGACTAGAATATACTGGGATCTGATCGGCCTATGGTGGAGCAGTACGGCAAGAGATAAGGGCTTGCGGCTCGGTGATACTCCTCCATAGATCCCTACCGGACGGGCGTAACGCCTTAAAAAACCGGATATATATATATATATATATATATATATATTATATATATATATATATATATATATATATATATATATATATAGATATATAGAAATTTAATCTTTGCAGATAAGTTAAATAGTAAACTCTTAAATATTGGGGAAATCTGCAAAAATTTGGGAAATTTGCAGATTTCCCCAATATTTAAGAGTTTACTATATATATATATATATATATATATATATATATATATATATATTATATATATATATATATATATATATATATATTTGAATGGACATTGGTAGAAAGAGGCCGGGAATAAAAAAGTTCATGGAGGTTTGGGGATAACGTTAAGAAACGATGAAGGTAATAATATTATTGTCTTTGCAGTGCCATTATTACTTTCTTTATGAAGACTGAAGACCAGCATGTTACCTACAGAAGCAGAGTAGGGAAAAGTCAGATATATTTTGAGCTGTGTAAAAGAAGTCAGGTAAAGGAGGTTACCAACTCTAAATTGATAAAAGTGTGTAGCTAGGACACCAGAAAGTAAAGTGGTGGAGGTTAAAAGATAAGGAATTGGCAGAAGTCGTTAAGAGTAGAGTGCTGGAAGAGCTTGAGGTAAAAGATACGGTAAGTGACTGAAGGAAAGCTAACAGTAAAGTTGTGGTGCGAATAGGACAGGAAGTAATGGGAAAAAATCAGGTAAAGGGCGTCCTAGAGACAAAGAAACTTGGTGGTGGAACGATGAAGTGAAATAGAATATGAGAGAAACAAAATAGGTTAGAAAGAAGTATGACAGGCTAAAACAAAGGAAGATAAGCATATATACAAAGTAGCAAAGAAAGAAGCAAATTCTGCTGTAGCTACTGCTAAGGAAAGATCATCTGCACAGCTGTATGAAGAGTTGGAAACACTCAAAGAGGCGAAAAAGTTATGCAGCATTGCTAAAGCAAGAGAACTGAAGGGGTAAAACAATTTTTATATGTGTTTTTCTAACGATAAAGATTATTATGTTAAGATACAGATAGATATTAGAGAATAAAATCTTACCTGATGTAAAAGTTGGCGTCAGTTTTGCTCTTAAGTTCCTCCACTTCTCATCTTCAAGGTTGAAGAGATGGCCGCTAAGGGGATCTTTTTTCTCGTTAACATAAGATCCATGATTCGGAAAATAAGCAAAATCTTTCTGTAACATACATTTAATCAAATCCAAATCAACTGGTACAAACTGGGGAGTGAATAGTGCATAATGACCACCAAAACGCTTTCCTTGAGCTTTAACTTTATTGTAAAGTTTTCCAAGAACTTCGGTTATATGGGCTGTTCTTTTTATTACTGATTTGCTGTTACCGTAAAAGAATTCTGGTTCAATGTGTACTACATTCCTATCTTTCCAGTAAGAGTACCGTCGTTTGGAGTATATATAAACTAGTGTCGCTAGTGTAATAAATATATAAATCCATGAATTGATCTCCATTTTTTTATTAACAAATCTGAAAAATAAGTATTTAACATACATAACTGTATAGCAGGTTGAATGTTAACAGTATAATGTTTATTATTTTTTACCAGCGTTTTTTTATACAGCACTTTAATAAAAATAACATGAATACCAATCGAACTGTACTAGTTAAATTTCTATTTTGAGTAATACATTTAAAATAAAAATATTTGTAAACTTGTCAACTTCGCGTTAATACTGGTTAAAAAGGAATTTTGATAGGATATCTTCATATAAGAAGGGGCGTTCGACGGGGATGTGTGCTTTCCATTCTTTTATTTAACATTTATTCGGAAGCCATATTTCAAGAGTTTTTGGAGGATGCAAAGATGATAATCAAAGTGAATGGAGTATTGATCAACAACATACAATATGCTGATGATGGTGTCTTGATTTGTGACAACATAGTCGATCTTCAACAGCTTGTCACTATAATCGAAGAATACAGTAAGCGAATGGGATTAGAGATTAATACCAAAAAACCAAATTTACGATCATCTCCAGAAACTTGGATGCACTTGAAAACTCCACCATAACACTGAATACTAAGTCCATTGAAAGAGTGAGTAAATTTAAATACTGGCATCGTGGCTTTTTGAAGACTGGGCATCGGTCAGGAAGTAAAATGTCGCACTGAGCAAGCTCGATAAGCTTTCGTAAAATTCAAGAAAGTACTGACTTGTTCAGAGTTTGATCTTCAACTGAGACAAAGGTTTACTAAGTGCTACGTGTGGTCAGTGCTGCTATATGGCGTAGAGGGCTGAACACTCAAAACGAGGGATATAAACAGATTGGAAGCTTTCGAAATGTGGCTCTATCGCCGTACCCTAAAAATATCATGGACAGCGAAAATCACAAATATAGATGTCCTTAACAGAATAAACCAAGAACGCCAACTTTTTGAATCCATACAGAAAAGGAAAACGGCGTATCTAGGTCACATAATGCGAAAAGAAAAATACCAGTTCCTCCAAATTATAATCGAGGGTAAAATTGAAGGCAAGAGAGGAATGGGACGCAAGAAAATGTCCTGGCTCCGAAACATAAGGCAATGGACAGGGATTAACGACATACAATATCTGATACATATTGCAAGAAATAGAGAATTATAGGAAAATGTGATCGCTAACATCCATTAGTGGATTTGCATCTGAAGAAAAAAGAAGATCTTCATATTTAAATTCTTCTTATAATCTCTGCTCTTACACTATAGGGTTTAAGAGAACTAGTAGAACACTACTATACAGAGAATTTAAGGAGTTACGATCAATTTTATTTTAATAGGACTATGAAATAAACACATTGTATATAAAATGCATTGACGAAGAAAAACTAAGAAAAATAAATAAAGAAGTATCAACAGCTATAAGTAAAGATTTAAGAAAATTGAAGAATGAAAAGTCCACCGAACTACAGAAGCGAAAAAACGTCTGAAAGTTCTGAGAAGACGGCTAAACAATAGAGAATGTAAAAAACACAAACTAAAGAACAAAAAAGGAGTCCCCATATCAAATAGAGAACAACTGCACATAGTTGAAGACTTCTATTAAGAATTATAGACAAGTCAGAGAGAAAAACAAACGAACTTGGAAGCCGCCGCATCACGCAAAATCATTAACCAGGGTTCAGAGCTCATGCCAGAGATCACACTAAGCGAAATCCAAATCCAGCACCAGTAGACGAAGATAAATCTAAATAATTAAGAAAAATTTGCTAAAATACATCAGAACTACATCTGTTGTTACAGCTGGATCACTGCACCGCACATTATCTATTAAAATGAACAGTGAGCTATTGAAATGTTGTGCAATAACATTATTTTAATTTTCTTATTAGTAAAGGAGGCTTTTGATTTGCACTTCGTACAATTAGTTGATCAAGTTACATGTATGAGTCACCCTGCCCAATTTTTTGTTAGAGTGTAATAGTAACAACAATAGGTTTATTTATTCCTGTGACAGAAAAAATTATAGTAAGAACTGTTTACAATTTCAATAAATCTAAGTTATATGAACGATGAGTAATAAAATGATATCAATTTAATAGTTAAAGAAAATTTTGATGTACGATTTGCTTTATCTTACCTTCTTTCACTTTATATTTTCATAATATACTTCTTATTAAAATAATTGTCAATTTATGCCACAACTAATATAAACGAACTATTATATAGTCAAGAAAGCATTCTGAATCTGTGTGTACACTTAAAACAATTGATTTGTTTGATTAACGGTGTAAGATATGATTAGATAACACATAATTTATCATGTTAAAAATGACTAATGAATATTTGTTGATGAATACATTGTGGTCACATATTACTAGTTAACTAACCTATTTCTCTATCTTCTTCTCTCTTCTTATATGTAGGCTTTAAAGCCTGAGTCTTCTTCAATAGCAGCCTCCTAAATTGTATAAATTATCACACCATCTTTTTCTTGGTTTGCCAAAACTTCTTCGTCCATTTGGCAACTTATCTCGTGCTATTCGTACTATTCTATCGTCTGCCATTATACTAATGTGTTCGTTACACTCCTGTTTCCTTTTTGTCAACCATCTACTTATGTTTTCGCTTCTCTCTCTATCAAACAGACTTTTCCCTGATATTCGTCGGAGTATGTTCATCTTTGTTGTTTCTAGCAGTCGTCTTGTTTTAGATGTATCAGGTCTTGTATCTGCCGTATAAGTTAATATAGGTCTAATTGCTGCTTTAAAGATTCTTGTTTTTGTATCTTGTCTTAGGTGTTTGTTCTTCGATTGTGTCATTAAGAGATCCCGCTGCTTCACTTGCTTTTAAGCTTTGTTGTCGTACTTCTTCTTCAACATCTCCGTAACTAGTTACCTCTATTCCCAGATATCTAAACCTTGCTTCCTGCTTTATTATTTTCTCATCAATTTCGATTTTACATCATAGTGGGTATTTAGATGTTGTCATACATTTGGTTTTTTCTGCGAATATTATCATATTGTATTTATTGGCTGTTGTATTAAAGATGTGTGTTAATATTTGGAGCTTGTCTTCTGTCTTGGCGATTAATGCGGCGTCGTCTGCATAATATAATATCTTGAAATGACGTTCGGGTGTAACAATTCATTGGAACGAGATGTTCCAGACCATAAATTTTCCCCCTATACTACTCTAATGCGAACCGCGGTAGGGGCACACTATCAGCCAACTTCGCTTCATGTGGGGGTCCTAGGTAAAAGAACTCCAACATGGTTCCATAACCGAATCAAATGCAGGCTAGCGTTAGGTGCTTTATTCCTGCTGTCCTCTTGTGATATGCGCAAATGGGAAATTGCTTGCTTGAGCCCCAAATCTCCGCTCTGGGTTACGCCTAGTTCGAAAACTTGGTGCTAAATGGTTTGGGCCCTACGTGCCCGTTTTTTTTTTTTGTTTTTGTATATTTTTTTTGGTGACTTGCGCCTTTTTGTTTTCTCTTCGGAGTATATATTTATTTTTATTCTGTAATGACCGGGAACACCGCTGTCGCCACTGTAATATTCGCGGAGTTAATCCGCTGTCACCATTGAAATACTAGCGGAGTAAAATTCTCGGTTTAAACTTTAAAGGATGCTTATCTCTGCGAGCGGAAGCAAGGCTTACTGGTCCCACTAGTCTGAATTGGCTGGTTCGCCCTCGCGAGTTCAGGAGGGTAGGGAAGTCTGGAAAAAGGATTAAGGACTTCTAGGTCTCAGGTCCTGTAAAGAGTTGAGTCTATGGGCTTACTTTAGAAGTCGGAGAAATGCATAAGCGGAAATTGTGTACTCTTCTAGTCTCTGCCTGTAACAGACGGAAGGAACAATAAAACCAAGTTTCGAGTCTACAAATGTATTAAAATAGACTGTATACTACAATTAAGTTAACAAGCTGTCAGCTATAACCCATAAAGATACGTTCAGGCGCGAAGGGAGACGAGAAGAGACCTTAGCAAGAAATTAAAGGGTGGACAATCTGCGTTTCTATATATTACTTGGGTTAGTATATAGATTTAGTTACCTTCGCGTATTTAGGCCCTAGCTAATGAATACGCTCTTCAGTTCTACTGGAATTCAGGTTCAGTTGTAGAAACACCGCGCGCTATCACGAGTTTTCGAAACTCCCGGTACCCGGCACTTATACGGTACTATTATCTCGCCGAAATACAAATTGCACGTTAACTTTATCGCCTTGTGGCGCGGAGCCTTCTCAGCGGTTCCACACTTACTGACCCGACGATTACTGGACGTTACCGCCTCCGAGGACTCACTACTGCCCGCCGAGCACTCTGGCTCCGGTCGCCCGAATGCTACCTGTGCCTAGTGCTTACTGCCTCCCTGGCACACTTCATTCGTTTTTATTAACCGTATTCTCATTTTCCGAGGTCGAGCTTTTACTGACTCAGTACTCATGCGGTGTTATTTTTTTCAACAATGGTCTCTGTTTTTAAACGTGATTTTTTTCTTTTAAATAATGGTTGCAAACTGATATTGAACTCGTGCAACACTTAAACTAGGTCGAGTTATCATTCTTTGTTTAATTTGAAATGTGTACGTTATCTATGTCGAATTATTTGTTCATTATTCAATTTGGGATATATAATAATTATTTACACAACTTCTACTCTTCTCTAGGCTACTACCCCTTATTATTTTTTTCTCTTTATTTTCTTGCTATGTTAACATTACAATTCCAATATTGGTTGCTTCGGACGCTTGTGCTTCCATCGATAAAATGTATTATTTCTCATTATCTCTCGCAGTATAGGACTTGGGTGGTTCTCTACCTAAGCAAATTTTATTCTGGCTATTTCTGTCATCATATCGGTCACCCTGACTTGTTGCAGTTCTCTGAATAAAAACGTTTAGCGACGTATCTCGGTACATTGACTGCTTCTCTTAGGCTGTTGTATATTAGTATCGGTAGTATGATGCTATTTATTACTCGCGTCTTTGTTTTCGTTCTTAGTTTGCTTCTTCTACCTGCAAATCCTGTTATTGACGCTTTTACCATGTTGGCTTTTGTATTGTGGCATCTACGTATTGTTTTAAGGTTAATCCTTTGTCCATTTTTACTTCTTTGTATGTATCTTCGCTAGTCCATTCGACAGAATTATTTTGCACTATAAATTGTTCATCTGGCCATTACTGTATCTTTTGAAGAGCACTACTTGTGTTTCTTCGACGTTTACGGCGATTTTCCACTGTATCCTCCATTCTTCGATGTTGTCTAATTTTAACGTTGCATAAAGGCTAAGTAGAGTTTCAGGTGATTTTGGAACATCGGCAGTATATATTATATACAGTAGTAGTGATAGGACTACTTTCTATGGTATTTCGGCCTTCGAGTTTCCGAGTTCGGAGAGAACTTGTTCTATTCGAACTCTAAAGCTTCGGTTGCCCAAATATGAAGAGATTACTCTCCTCATTACCTCACTGTGTCCATAGCCTATAATGATGTAAATTATCCTTTTATGCCAGACTCTATCCAAAGCTTTGCATACGTCCCGAAAGGCAGGTCTTGTGTTCTATTTGTCATTAAAGCTGGATTCCGATCAAAGTGTTTTGATCGGAATCCAAACTGTGCTTTTGGAATTATTCCCAGCCGCATGTTTCGGCAATTGTTTAAAAGTTGGTTTAGAAATAAATATCGCCAAAACGAATGAACATAAAAATTTTTAAGCAAATGTAAAAGCTGTATTACTGTATGGCTATGAAACGTGGAAGATATTAGCACCCATAATAAACCAATGACAAGTTTTTTATCAAGAGATATTTACAAAAAATCATTCGTACATTTTAGGTGGTTCAGATTCGGTCCGTTTATATTAATTTCTCGTACCATTTGCTTGAACACGTATTCGGTTACAGCTGTTAACAATTTCGAGAATTCCGTGTTCTAATCGGATCTTTTTGGTATCTTCATGAAGTCGGACAGAAGCTGTACCAGCTTCGTAGATACTCTTAATCGGGGCAATATATCGGTAGTCGATGCTGCAGTCAGCCAATGCTCGAAGAATTTTACAGTAGACTCGCGATTATCCGAGATAATTGGGACCGTGACTACCTCGGATACGGAAAAAACTCGGTTAACAAGAAAATCCCGTAACAACAGATAACTGTGGTTATTTTAATGACTAAAAACCAATACAGTACTGTATATAAAAGATTTACCTTATAATACCACCGTTTAAAAAAGCTTTTGACTGATTTTTGCGAATATATTTAGAACTAGATCGGCAACTGCATCTGTCAGTTCCATTTCTTCATCTCCATTCATTCCATCGATGACGTCTTGGTTTCTGATTGGCTAGGTTGACAATAGTATTAACCTCAAAGTCATCAGCCTGTTTAGTAGTATCTGAAGAAGTCTTTGCTAATAATTTCTCTTAATTGCTTCTATAACGCCTTATCTAGGAGTTGGATAAAAGACGTCACATTGGTTGGAAGGAACACAGTTCTTATGTCGACTCCTCTTGCTGCCCGATGTATAAGAGAGCTGCTTCAAGAGTCTTTAACCCATCAAAAGAAGAATTTTTTAAGTTATCTCATCTGTATCTTCTTCTTCTTTTTATTCTTCTTCATGGTTGATGTTTAGAACTCGGTAATTTCTTGTTTTCCAATTGACTAGGTTGGCTATAGTATCAATTTCACAGTCATCAGTTACTTTTGGAAGGTCCAGTCTTTTGTTTTATATCTGAAATAATTATTTCCATGATTTTTGAATGGTGGACTTACGCCATCCAATGCAGATGATATCCAATAGCAAACATCTTTAATCGTGATCTTCTTCAATGCGTCAATTACAATCAGACTCCTCCAATAATTCCTCTATAACACCTTGTCTAGGAGTTGGATGAAAGACATCACATTAGGTGGAAGGAACACAGCTCTTATATTAGCACTAATCAATTCGTTCGGGTCTTGGTGGGATTGTGCATTGTCCAGCAACAACAAAGCTTTTTAAAATAGATTTTGCTTTTTTAGGTAGGCATCAATGACTCGTACAAAATTATTAATAAACAAGATCTTAAAAATGTTACAGTCCATCCATGCATTGAGTTTGTTTTTATAGGCTGTAGATAAGCAATTCACTTACTACATATTATTTAAACGCTCTTGGATTTTTTGATTTTCCAGTTAAAAGATGTCCTAATTTTAATGAATCACAAGCATTGTTGCAGATCATGATTGTGACTCTCTGGTTGCTTTTCTGATAACCTGATGTAGTTTCTTCGTTTTTAAGAGGTAGTTTTTTCAAAAGAAGCATTTTAAAATGAAGGCATGTCTTCTCACAGTTAAATATTTGGTTTAAAGTTAGTCCATCTTTAAGGATAATGTCTAGTTATTTTAAATAAAATGCTCCAATTTTAGTTGAGTCATCAAAAAGTTTTTCGCCGCAAAGATTTAATTGTCGAATACCATATTATTTCTTCTTCCATGAGTCAATCCATCTTTTACTAGTACAAAAGTTTTCTCGTACATTCTTAAACTTCTTGTGGAAGTTAATATATTTGGCTTGAAGAATTGGACCATTTATGGAGCTACGCCATCCTCTCATTTGTGTAAACCATGAAAACAATGGCTTAGAAGTTTCTTTATGGTGTCTTTTTTCACAATCTTCTTCGCCAATTCACTCACACCACTCACACTGCGGTTGACCTTCTGTTCCGCTTTTGCTTCCAATCTCCAACAGTTACTTTATCAACACCTAAATCTGAAACACCATTGTCCAACTCACAATAATTACCATAGTAACAGTAATTGTGGACAAAACGCGACACAGAAATTTCTGGAAATAAGGCGGTGACCAATTTCTGAAAATTCCGGCTCGACTTAACAGCGCATAACTATTCGCAATTGTGACTTACTAGCTACGACTTTTGTCTCGGTTAACCAAGGGGCTCGGATAACCTAAACTCGGATAATCGCGAGTCTACTGTATCTGATATCTCGATCTATAATATCATACGCCTTTTTATAGTCTACGAATTTAAAAAAGATAGTATTCTGTACACTTTTTTTTAGCGTTTTAATAACTTGTAGAATTATCTTTATGAATAATTTGTACGTATGGGCCAGCAAATTAATAGGTCTGTAGTTCTTTAGGTATGAAATACCATTACTAATGCATCATTGCAACCGCAACACATTTTTTATTTTAATTGTTAACTTTATTTTAATGTAAGTACAGGTATTATACAGTTTAATATTTAATTAGATGATCTTGTCTAATAAAAAAAATCATGTTTTTAATTGATTTCTATTATTAGATATCTTTGTCTGATTAAGTAAAATAGCACCCCTAGAGAGTTTCACAACTGATATTAAAAGTAGGTAAAGAAATAATAAATAAGACTTACTCACAATCAATTTAATTTAACTATCCGACGACCGGTTTCGCTTTCTACAATATGCAAAGCATCTTCAGGTCTCGGTACAAAGTTAAACAAATGATGCCGGTACTCTATTAATAGATGGATGGTAGAACATGTTTGAAACTACTGTATATTGTTGAATGGAGAACTCAATACTATTATTGCAGTTGTTTGACAGTAAATGGGAAGTTCTTGAGGAGGTAGATTTGATCCAATGAATTTGAGATATGTGTGAGATTGTTTGTTAAATGTAAGTGGTGTAATATATTATTGTGTTATTAAAAGTTATTTATACTTATTCCAGAGATATATTTTTGAAATGTGTGTTATTTATTGAGTAATTTTTTTATGAAGGTGACATTTATGACAATGAATAAGTGTAGATGTAAAATTGTGTGGGTGTGCAATTATTTCCAAACTTGTAGTTATCAAATTACTTTGATAAAGTTCTATTGGCAATGAGTTAATTATTGGAATGGTCAAGTGAAAAAAATGAATAAAATGGTAAAATACAAACACTTATGGATAATTTAAACACACTAAAAACAGAAAACACTTAGAAGGGACGAAACAAACATTGAATTTAAAAGGGGGAAGGACTTTAAAGCACTACATCATAGTCTTGGGCACAATGAGTTTTTTTGTTTAACTTTGCATATTGTAGAAAGCGAAACCGGTCGTCGGATAGTTAAATTAAATTGATTGTGAGTAAGTCTTATTTATTATTTCTTTACCTATTTGAAATGGACTCACACAAGCAACAAATTCATGATTTGATATTAAAAGCTAAAATCTTCAAATCGTATAGAAATGCATTAGAAATAAAAAAAATCCACCCACAACGTGACGTCATGTGCAAACTTGAACGAAATTTGGAGCGCTAGGTACCTTTCTTTTATTGTGTTATCTGGTTATTGTATTTAATTTCAAATAGCATGAATATTTTGGATATACCTTTCCATTTTCGTAAGAACTTTCTTTTATCGTCGTGTAATATACAACATACACCTCGTGTTGTTCTTTCTTTTTGATCAACTCCACTGTATACTTAATGTAACTCAACTATCCATTAAATAAACCAAGCTATGGGTACAATGAACGCCATTCCAACAGAACGTTTGTTCTGTTGGAGGTAAATAAATAATGTATTAAAACATTTGTTTACATTGTTATCTTCGTCACAAAAGTTAAGTACTTGAAAAATATTTCAATTCAGAATGAGTTCCAAAAATTATATAAAAGTATGTACTTTGATACTGCAAATAGGAGATATAATAAACAAACAAAAATTTTATTAAATATAAAAAATCGCAGAGTAACAATTTAAACATTTGTTGTGATAATGAATGAAATAAGAGCATGCTTTTAGAACGCAGCATGTTGAATTGAGTCAGGGTTCATAAAAAATCTTGTAGTAAAGTATTTCGTTCTATGAAACGGGTTCTAAGTTGAGCCAAATGCCGTCCTTGACAGATGAGATTAAGCTACCTTCATACTTTATTGGTAATTGTGTTTTTTCATTGAGAGTAACCTTGTAGTTTCTTAAAACATGACATAAGCCCACCTTGCTTTGTAGTTTTCCAAATCTCAAACCTAAAAATAAATTTAGAACAATATGAAAAAGGAACTAAGTAACTATTTAAAGTAAGTATCTATAAACTTACATTCCTGGCAACCGTATACTAGAGTGATACTGATAAGTATTTGCCAAAACATTCTTTATTTTTGTTATAATTAAAGGACAAAAAGTTGCCTTTACCGCAGAGTTACATTCTTACTCACTTCGAACTTGGATCAACATGTGACTGAGAGAATTAAACTTGGTTGTTTGACAACAGGAATATATTGAAAGATAATTTACCAAAAAAAAAATACATCAAATGAGCAAACTAAACCTAACAAGGTTATTTTACAACCTATATACCAAAGCTAGTACTTACATAAAAAGGAAAAGAATATTTTGTACTAGAAAATATCAAATCAAATATCAATCAAAGCAACAAAGATCAATGCCAAATCTTTTCGCAAAAAAAATCAAGCAGAAAAGGCGGCAATTTAACTTAATGCGAAGAGAGAGTGATCTTATTCTTCACGTGCTATATCAGAATTTTCCGACTTTCACCACTGAGAAGGCTTCCCGAAATTCTGTCACATGGAAAATCTTCGAATCCACATTTCTAGTGCTTCAATTCGGTTCATTCTTGATACTTTTAGGGTTTCTGCTCTATACAATTCTTTGTATTCATTTTAAACTGAAACAGTTATATGTTTTCGTTTTTTGAATAGTGGTTTTAGTCACTGCTAATCCGCGTTTTATTTATATGTCTGGATCTAGTTGGTTTGAAAGTTTCTAAATATGTAATGTTGTGAAATTTTTAGCTTAGTCAATTCAATGTTCATTGAAGCTCTGCATCTCGATATAAGCTACGGCTAAAAACTAAAAGAAGAAGATCTAATTATACTAAGGAATTCCCCGTTATTTTTTATTCGATAGGGCTTAACTAACTCTTAAAGCTTTTTTGTAATAAATGATTTCAGTAAACATGTAAACATTGACCAATGTTGTGGACAAAATACAACCTCCTTATCGTATGGAGATTTCATCAGTGTAGTCTGCATTTATCTTTAGTTTGTACGGTTGCGTTTGATATTATAAATTATGAATAATATATGAATAAGCTGTGTCCACAGACTAAGAAATGAGAAAGTCCTTAGACGCCTGAACCAAAAAACACAACTGGTCAATATAATAAAGAGATGCAAGCTGGAATACTTCAGTCACAGTTTTTAGCATCTGCATTAATTTTACATGCTTCACCTCATCGAATGCCTTTTCGAAATCCACAAAACAGGTTAAAACGTCTTTTCTATGATACAAATACAAAATTACTTTTAGTTTGATAGATCAGGAAAACAGGTTTGATTCATCACTAGTTGCAGTTATAGCGTAGTTGGCGTCACATATGTCATAGAGCGCATAGCATAACTGTAGTAAAGCTGGCCGAGCCATAGAATCAAAAAGAATGACGGATGGTGGACCCAACGGAATACAGTGTGGGGAGCAGCTAGAGCAGACAGAAGAAGCATAGGTGGACGATGGATAGACGGCGTCAAAAGAATCGCTCAGAATTGGCTGCAGAAAGCTTAGAACTGGAAGAAATTAGAATAGGCCTCTGTTTAACGTTTGACCCAAAGGGCTGGATGATGATGATGATGTAGTTGTAGTAAAAAAATTAATAAAAATCAATAAGTAACAAATATTATAAGGTATACATACCTATACATGTTCTAGGTCCTTCACCAAATGGTAAATATGCAAATGGATGTCTTTTGGCCTTATTTTCTTCATTGAACCTCTCTGGATCGAACTTGTCGGGATCTGGATAGTAATCCGGATCCCTGTGAATCGAAAGGACTGGAATATTTAGTCTTGTACCAACAGTAATGACAAGATCGCTGTCTGGGACTTGGTAGTTTTTGGTACAAATGCGTGGTAACAATGCTAGAGGTGGGTGTTTTCTGAGAGATTCTAGAAGTTATTAACATGACTGAGTTATAAAATAATAATATTTTTATACAAAAATACTAACTGGAAAAGTTCATACTACTGTGGGTAACTTAATATTCGTTGACATTTAAGATACATCACCGTCTGATATTATCCATAATACATCTTATGTGTTCCAAGTTTTACTGCATTGAGCTTGAGCCGCTTGGATAGTCTGAATAATGATATTTTTTATTGGTCTCGGTCATCTCTTACATGTACTGCCTCAGTATACTGTTTGTTAAGCAACGTTTTCGTAATGTCCGCCCATTGTTGATATCTATTGCGTTAGTGTTGAGTCTGAGGCCTTCCTGAGACTAGCAACGCTCCATTTTGTAATCACTTCGATAAATATGACCAAAGAACTTTATTCTAGAGCAAACAGTATTAGAGAGATGTTGATTGGGTTTAATTTGATTAAGTGAAATATATGGTATTTATATTCTCTATATCTGTGTGGACGAAATATTCTGCATTCCCTCTCTTTATATCGAGACCATCTTGATTGGAGTTGTGCAAGACCCACCATATCTTTAGGATTCCGGGATATCACAATAATTAGAAAGCTTCCAATTTGTTCAGCTTTATAGTGAATAGAGTAGATCATACACAGGATATCATGACCCTTTCTCAAATATACATTAATAGGATCCTCTTGAATAGAACTGATTCACTGGTAATTATCTCTTCATTAAATGTATGATTTAACCATCTACATGTAACCAGCATTTAAAAAAGTTTATATGTGTGTTCTATATTCCCTTCATTTAGCTCAAAGTTACAGTAATTTATATTTATCTTTCCAACTGGGAAATAAGAAGCAAAAAAAAAAACGAAATAATCTTAAAAATCCCTCGCGAAAAGTATCGAAAAAAATAAAGACATAAAGAAAACTTTTGTTAAGTAACTCTTATATATCAACGTAAAGCCTAAATTGTACTTTATAAATAGAATATTTTATTTTAAAGTATATATAAAGTATATCAATAGTAAAGTATATAAATATAAAATCTCTTACCTAGCACCACTTTCTCCAAATACTCCATATCCATGATTGATTCATACGTCACCTTATCATCATGTTTCGCAAGAACCCTGTTGATTTCATCTCTTACTTTATTTTGAAGTTCTTCATTTTGAGCTAACTCTAAAAGAGCAAAAGACATCGTTGTGGCTGATGTCTCAAACCCAGCAAGGAAAAAAACGAACGACTGTGCTGCCATCTCGTTTATAGACAAACCCTGGAGGTTGTTTTTGTTCTTTTGCATTAACTGTTCTTCATTATCTTCAGAAATTTTGCCAATATTCTTCAACTGGATAAGTAGATGCATAAAGTCTTTTCTGTAAACGTTGTTTTCTTCTCTGTACGCTACTGTTTTCTTCACCAAATTAATAAAAAAGCTTTCAATATCTTTAGAAATCATTTTTATACCGATTTTCTTAAATAACCATTGCGGTATTATGGTAAGAATAATAAATTTAATCCTGCCTAGTAAAGAACTTTTAAAAATCCTTTTACCGTATTCTCTAAATTCGGAGTCTGGGTTTTTCATGCTGTTTATATCCAAACCGAATGCCACTGACCCAATGACGTCAGTGGTGAAGCAGCCTAAAACGTCTTTTATGTCCACGGGTTCTGTGCTCGATGAAGCGTTCTTTAGCATTTCCTGAAGGCCTTCTGATGAGCTAACCATAGTTTGAAACATCATCTTCATTTTCCCTAAAGTTTTAGTTATGTAAATTGAATGGAACCTTTTTTATTAGAGAGACTAATTATATAGTGAAAACTTTTATAGGTACGCTTAAGGAAATTATGTTTTAGGTGGAGAGAAAATTTGAGTGTGGCGTCAGTAGAAAACTGGTTAAGGTAATCTAGGATGCATACATTGGGCGTAAATTTAGCTCGGCATCCTGTAGAAAAAGTTATGGAATTTTAAAAATCATGGTTTTTGATTGGTATATGGAAGAATCTTCCTTCTCTTCTTCTCATATTCCTATGCTTTTCTTTTTCCATAAAAGAAAAATCCCAGAGCCCTAAAACTTATTACATAGGGAATTTTGTTAATGGAAGAATGTTATTGGAATTGAGCGATGTCTTCTTTTTCTCACCATATTTACACCTTTTATTTCAATTAGATTGTTCCTTCTTATTTTATTATGCCTTTTTTGTTGAATAGAAAAATCTAAGAAATTAAAAACTTTGAATGAATTGAATAAAACAAAAAGAAGAAAGTATTTTGAATATACTCTGACTATATACGACTATATTTTCAAAATGAAAGATATTTTTAAGGTCTGCTATAAAAGGTTTCACTTTAGTTGGCACTCCCATGTGCAATCTATTATATTATAACTATATACAAATAATAAGAATGTGGATAAAATTGCAATGTACTATTTACAATAGATCGATACAAATCTTGGCATACGCTGATAATATTGACATAATAGAGCGTAACCAGCGAGATGTTGAGAAATTTTTCCTAGAAAAAAAGCCAAAGAAGATGATGATAAAATTACAATGGCATAAAGACAAATGGAAATACAAACGTTGAATCTAAAATTTAAAATTAAAATCAAACGATTAGAATACAAAAAATGATATATAGCAAGTGGTAAGATACCAGGTAACTTAAATGTACTACTGAATTTAGGCAACAGGCTTATATTCAATACAAACATTTCAGTAAGTTTAGCTGCTTCTAGGTCAATGCTCTTTTTTGATGATATCGTGTTACCGAAACGAAAACGGATTATGGAGATCCAGGTACAACCATGAACTCTACCAACTGTTCAAAGAGGCAGCGATCTTAAAATTCATTAAACTTCAGATAATTTCCTGATCATATAGTGAGAATGGAGACTTAAAGATTACCAAAAAGAAAGGCCATGGAAAAGGTGGGTGTAGCGCCATTGGAGAAAAAAAGGGAGAAGGAGAGGACAGAGAGTAAATAAATGATAATGGAGAAGTTGTAGTGTTGAAGAAGAGGGGAAACTTATGGTAAGTAGGTGGTAAAAAACTGAGTATATGTGGTTGGGGGAAAAACCTGGTATTGCCAACAGGATACAGGCTGGTTGGTTTAACTGGAAGCGTATGAGCGGAGTACTCTGTGATTAAAAAATCGAGGAAGGGTTGAAAGGAAAGATATACAAGAGTGTGAAGAGACATGCGTTGGTGTACGGCAGTAAAGTGTGGCCAGTAAAGTAGATGGGGGTAGCTGAAATGCAAATTTTACGGCAGATGTTGGGTAAGACTAGAAGGGACAGAATCAGAAATTACTTAATTAGAAAAAGAGCCCGGGTGACTAGAGTCTCAAAAAAAATTCAAGAATAAAGACTGCAATGGTGTAGTCATGTCAGACGTAAAAATAAAAAACCGAGGAGCAGCTGGAAGGATCGTGTGGTAGAGGTCCTGAAAGGAAAAGATTTAGGTGAAGAAGACCTAAATTAGTAAGGAACAGAGAATGAGTAGAGAAAAGCTGAGGAAGAAGAAGAAGAAGAAGGTGCACAACTCCACAGTAGTAGTGGAAAAAAAGTAAGTATTTGTGTATTCCTGGTAGAGATAGATATAAACTTTATTGTACAAAATAATAATAATAAGCAAAAATTAGTTCATAATTATAACAAACTTTCTTACTGGACTCAACCAGTGAAGAGATACTTCATACAATAGAGGTATTTTATGGAAATCTAAGCTACATATTCTTTGGCAAAGAACTGAAAAAGTCAATTATTTTGGTTTGACTGTAAAGTAGACAGCAAATACATGCAAAAAATAAGCTTAAGACTTAAGCTACAAATTTTTTGATAAAGAATCTAAAACAGTCAATCATTTTGTGTCCCTCAAAGGTATTGTATTGGAGACAGCAAAAACTTTTTAGAGTCAAGCATTTGGCTCAAAAAACATAGTTTAAACTTGTACTAGCTGGTATAGAATTCTAGACTATTATAATGGGTATCATTAATAAATAATAAATGTGTATATTAAATCAATAGACTGCAGTAAGACCGATACATAAAAGAGTCTGCCAGGAAAAAAACAGACGAGTAAATATAGATAAAAAAGTTAAAAATAATAAACATCGAAAATAAAATACACATTTTTTTTGTAAACGTTTTTCTAACCATAAAGTTAGTATGTGATCTGGATAGATATTAGAGATTAATGTCTTACCTGATGTAAAAGTAGGCGTCAATTTTGCTCTAAGATTCCTCCATTTCTCATCTTCAAGGTTAAAAAGATGGCCGGTGAGGGGATCTTTTTCCTCGTTAACATAAAACCCATGATTCGTAAAATGAGCAAAATCTTTATGCAATATACATTTAATCAAATCCAAATCAATCGGTATAAACTGGGGAGTGAATAGTGTATAATGACCACCAAAACGCTTTCCTTGAGATTTGACTTTATTGTAAAGTTTGCCTATAACTTCGCTTAAATGGATTTTTTGCCTTAATACTGGTTTGCTGTTACCGTAAAAGAATACTGGTTCGACGTGTACTACATTTCTGTCTTTCCAGTAAGAGAACTTTCGTTTGGAGTAAAAATAAACAAGTGTCGCTAGTGTAACCAATAGGTAAATCCATAAGCTTATCTCCATGTTTTAAGTAACAAATCTAAAAAGTATTTAATAAATATAATAGTACATTCGATAAACGTTAAGAGTTTAATTTTTAATTTTTATTATTATTTACTATTCTTTGTTTCAAGTTAAGAAAATAACATTACGCTTATGAAGATCAGTGTTGCCAAAACTCACATACACTCTCTTTTGCACGGATGTCCAAGATATTCGCTTTGCTTAATTTTGAATTTTCATTTTCAATTAACATTTAACTGTAAAGTCAGAATAACTACTAAATAAAAGCTTTATTATCATTATGTAGTCAGAGAACGACATAAAATAGCTGACATACGCACATCGTATTATTTTAAGTTGCAATTAGTAATTAGATATGTACGCATTCCAAGCGGTCAATATTTTCTACTGATTTCTATGATTCATGGCATATCGTATTCTCACCGAAAAACAAATAAACTGTCCTTACTATAATTAAAATAAGATAAAATAAAATTATCTTTTGTAAATAGTATTTATCTAATTAAAATCATTTTCCCTACTTTTCATCTCTTGTTTCGAATGGGCACTTTTGGTCAATTACGTTAAAAAACATTAATTTAATTCATGTTTGTGGAAACAAAAATATAAATTACACAACCCTAAATTGTGCTTGTATGTGTCGTGGCAACGCCGCGTTGCTATCGTCCATAAGAAATACATGGCCCTATCTCCGCAATGTTATTTTCTAAACGTGGAACGTAGTATAGTGCTTTTTGATACAGCACTTTTAGTAATAAAACACAAATCAAAATCATACTAGTTAAATTCCTATTTTTAATTGATAATGCTCCTTATCAGATCTCAAAAATTGTTCACTACCATTCACCGGTCACTATGGAATTTTCATTGCTGGAACCTAATATTTAAAACCTATAGCATGAAACTCTTTTACAATACATTACAAAACATACCCAACGTTTAGGTAGGATTTTTTCAGCCCAGAACTTTCGTAAATTTCAAAATTTGTGCTTAACATTTGGATGACACTTTCCCTATGTAGCTATGTGACTATAATTTCAGTAATTTTTTAGATAAACTTGTTTGTATTTTCAATAAGGCATTTCTTTCAATAAGGGTATCCGCGTATCAGCCAAGAATATGCGTTCACGACTGTACATCAAGAAATTTACTACCAATGTCTTTGTCACTGAATATATCTTCATGTACAGAGGACCCTATCTAAAACTTATCAAAACAGCTAAAAAATGTAGTATGAGAATCGTCTGGGAAGCTCTAAAAATGTTGCAAGTGAAACTTGGTCCACAATGAACGATCTTCGAAATAAAACTAACACAGCTCAAACTAACACATTTTCACTTTAGTCTTTTTTGTTCTATATATGTTAGTATGTCTGTTTCTATTGATATTCTTTGCTTTATTTCGTCATTACTTCTACATCTTCGCAGGCATTCTATCTCTGTTGCTACTATCTTACTGCTGTTTTTCTTGTTTTTAATCCAATTTTCAGCCCCATATATGTCATAATACTTCGCACTAATGTTTTATAAATCTGTGTTTTTGTCTTTATAATTAGGTCTCTATCCCACCATACTGAGTTGAGTTGTCGTTGAATAACTGGATTGCTGTTCTTGTTTATCCTAATTTTTGTGTAATTTCTTCCTCTGTTGTCGCCTTTTTCGTGATAATAAACCCCAATTATATGAATTTATCCTTTCGTTTGATTGCTACGTTGTCAAGCGTAGGTTATCATCTTGTTAACTATTGTTACTGGTTTTGCTTTCCACATAAAATAACTGTATATTCATTCATATATGTACATTAATCAAACCAACATGACAATGACATAATATATAATGACAATAGTTATTTTAACAATTTTTTTTTAAATTGTAATATTTATATGTGTAATGGTTTGTTTCATAAAGTTAAACTTAAACTGTAATCTCATATTTCTTTGAAACAGATGTCTTGAAAAAGAATTAGAAGAAATTCGAAAGCTTGACAGAAGTCAAAATTCAGCTTTTTCGTGTCGTTTCTAGAGGTCAAATCTCTGACGACTGTACTATACCGATATGAGACAAAACATTTGCGCTGTTTATGTCTCAGACATTTAACTAAATATAGTATTTTTAAATCTAATGTTACTTTAATGAATTATCAGATATCTTGATGCAATTTAACAGGTTTTCAAATAATATTGTCGATACGTAAATATGACATGAAATGTGTTCATTATGTAAATACAATACTTACAATTTATCTTGAAGTGGGTGGACGTTGTACTATACTCTGAATTTACTATAATTATAAAAATTCCATTAGCATAAAGTATTGTCAAACATTTCATTTAAATAAGATATTAAAATATTATCTTCATCAACCTTCTTGACTCTTCCCTACCAATTTAGGATAAGTTTTTTTCTCCCGTCGTTTATTTTTTTATATTTCCTTCAAGCTACCATGTCCAAAATGTGCCTTGTCTTCTTTAAAAACCTGACCTTCGTTTCCAATGATCTCTCTATTTAATTATTTTTCGGCTTTTCCAAATGATTGTTTAAATCTCTGTTTTTAATTTTATGATAATATTTTGTGTTTATTCAGTCAGTTATACAACCTTTTAAATACTTATGATTGCCTTTGGAAATTTTGCTATTATTACCAAAATCACTTTTGTGTTTTACCATACAACATTGGTTTTCCAATTTTCTTAGATTTTAGATATCTTGGATATTGATTCCAAGTAAAAATAAACAATTTATAGTTCCTAATTTTTGTTTATCTAAATAAATATAAAACATTCCGATCATTAGGAGAGAAAGCGGCTTTTTATTATTGACTGCCTGTATGATTCACATACAGGAATCTTCAGAAATAAAAAAGCAGATCAACTGGCCAACAAAAGTTAAATGGGGTCAAACCATTCTGCAAAGCGCAAAGCTAAAAACATATCCAAACGATCTAATAGATCAGGTAAATAAGATCTTTCGTGACACTTGATCAGCAAACGACAGTTTGTTGTATGAGTAGCATGGACCTTTTTACCAAGAACCTATGTTTCCTGCAGTTGATTTTTTTACTAAAGTAGTTATTAATAAATTATGGTCAAATAACGGTAGATTATTGCTTTTTTCATCTATCATCAAAAATTGGAGTATTGGCAACAAATTTGAGAATAAAAAACTAATAGGTCCTATAATGACCTGAAATGAATTGAAAATGAACTGACCGAGAATATCCAGATTCGCCGTGGGGTCCGCTAAGGGTGTGTTTTATCACCCTTGTTATTAAATAGTGAAGCCGTCTCAGAATTAGCGGTGGCCGAGATTAGTGAGGGCTGTTAATAAACGGTGAGCCCTTAATAACATAAGATATGCTGACGACATCGTCTTTCTGGCAGGAACACTAAAAAAACTGCAACACCTTGCTCAACAACTAAATAGGTATATATTACAACGATTATGGACTAAAAATAAATTTGAGGAAAACCAAGTTCATGGTATTTACAAAAGCACAAAACATCAAAGTTAAGCTAGTACTAGATAATACAGAAATTGAACAAATATCTTCGTACAAATCTCTTGGAGCATGAATCACAGAAGATACTGATCAGACAAAAGAAATAAGATGCCGCATTGAAATTGCACGGTCAACTTTTAATAGAATGAGAAAATTTTTTGTAATCGCGATATCAATATATCGCTCCGGATAAGAATGCTTATTATGCTCGATGTTATACTTTCTTTAGCCTTTTGTACGGGGTTAAAGCTTGGACACTTAAAAAATCCAACATTAAAATCCTAGAAGCATTCGAAAAGTGGTGTTACCGACGTGTTTTGAAAATATCATGGATGGATCGCAAAACAAACGAACAAGTTCTCGAACAACAAGGAAAACAATGCGAAGTTCTAAATTCCATAAAAATCAGGAAATTGGAATACTTGGGGCACATCATGAGAGGTGAAAAGTACGAACTACTAAGGAATATAATGCAGGGTAAAATCAAAGGCAGAAGAAGCGTAAGAAGACGTAAAATCTCTTGGCTACGCAATCTCCGTGAATGGTTTGGATGCAGTTCAATTGAACTATTCAGGCGCCTAACCAACAAAATTATAATTGCCGGAATGATTTCCAATCTCCGATAGGAGTGGAACTTGAAGAAGCAGAAGAAGGTCCTATAATAATCCTTATTTGTTGCTAAGAAAATAAGTCGTTTTTTATGGTAATAACTTTATTTTTTATTATTTATTATTATTATATTATATTATTATTTAAATTAATATAGAACCTTGATATTACATGGAATATTGGTTCCTGTAGTTCCTAAACTGTGATCAAAATTTCAAAGCGATTGGTTAAATAGTTTAAAAGTTATTGAATTTGTTTATACCAAATCAAACTTTTTGCAACCATATAGGTAAGAAAATGATGAAGTTACAGTAATTCTATGGATGGCTTATGGAAGAAGAAGAAGATGTATTCTATTATTATTACTAAAAAAAATGAAGAAAAACGATTTTAAATGTTTGCAAAATCATTTTGCAAAAACGTGTCAAGTGTTTGATTATAAACAATTAGAATAACTTTTTAAATGTTGCATAGACTAAAATAGTTTTTTTAATATTTGGGAACTTACACTTTTAAAAAAATTAAAAAATAGAAAAAGTTGTACCAGGACTATTTGGGACTAAGTTAGTCCCTTTTTTAATTGGCAGCGGCTTTGTTTGTAACAATTAAGGGATCTAATTAGCGTCATTTAAAAGAACATACTTTAAAGTTTTATATGTAGTATACACAAAGCTTTAAAATTTGGTCTTAAAATCAGCTGACTTTGAAACTCTCAACACAGTCATGGAGGGGAAGGAACTGGTAACTGTATCTCTTTTGTTAATTATATATATATATATATATATATATATATATATATATATATATATTTACGGCATAAAGTGGACTCCGCCCATGTTAAAATTCAGGTTCAGGTGAGCTCCGTGGTCAAGTGGACACCGATATACGGAGCT